ATACCGCTCTCTACGGTAAAAGCAGTATAACAATGGATTCGAGTAGATATCTGCAGCAGGCCCCTTTCGATAAAAATGTACCCAGTTGCTCCTCGATTATCACAATTTCTGTGGCATTTCTTGGACGACTATTGAATTCTTTGTCCAAGTTATGTATCTGATTATGGTAATTTTGAGCAGTAATTGTCTTTCCAATTGTACTCTCGTAGTTTTGAATGATTTCTTGTTACGATCGCATAATTTTTTTAGGTTCGTTTTGGCACGCATTACAGCTAATCAAGTGCACTGCGCATTTTTTCTGTGACTAGTCTGAACTTGCCTTGCAACAGCTATCAGTATCGAAACTTGATTTGATTACCAAGTAATTTCTAGCTTTTAAAAAAGCATGCAGTGATTAAAATAAGAGAAATATTTATTTTGTCTTAAAATAATTATTCAATCGGTATGTTGTAAAGAAGATTTTTTTTGAAAGCGGTTTTATAATTCTAACATTCATAGTTTTTGACCCGATTTATTCAACCTGCATGAATCAAAATGGCCGCTCGAATGTTGTGTTTCTATTTTTGCCCCAGTTTTTTAACTTTAAGAAGCATGATAACGGCACTAAACATCGCCAATCATGGATGAAAATAATGTCAAATGGGAGAATATACCGATCTGAGCCGAGGTATGCATGTGTTGATTTATTTGATTGATAAAAAAGGTCACTTATAAGCGACATACTCCTGATATGCGCTTTTTATAGAGGCAAGTGGCAAATCCTGTGAGCTGATTTCGGGATACCGGGTCCCGATCGGTGCGAGGCCGTCGGGACCCGGTTTATAAAATTCCTGACATGACTCAGGCCTACTCGCATTAAATGGTTTTAACTTATAAATCGCACAATTTTAGACGGAATAACATTTTTTTTAATGGGATTGCATTGTCCATGATCAAAATTCGGGTCAGAAAAAAGACAAAATAAACATATTACGTACCAATTTGGTCGCTAGCAGTTCAGCATTCGTCACTCGCAAATACTTATTTGCTTTATACTATGAGCGCGCGCGCCGCTGGAGCTGAGCTAGTTTCTGTGTATTGTGAATGTGTGCGAACTGCGTATGCATTATCTGCACGAAACTACTGTGTACTCGCCGTATTTGGCGGCCTGGGCGCCTGGGAGCTTAGGCGGATACCGCTGCAATCACAAGACTTTTAAAATGTTGATGGAAGTAGCTGGTAGTTGGAACAGAGATTTCACTCAGACACATCAATAAATTGATTTATTAAATCCTAGGGAATATCAATTTATGGCGGGGGCGATTTTTAAATATATATCGATTTTTTTCTTTTTCTTTTTTCGCCCTCGTCTTGATTTTTACCGTGGCGATTTCAGAGGTTTAGGGGGCGAATCGCCCGTCGCCACCGTGTATTTTTTTCGTTGGTGTGTGTTTGTGAGTGACTTTGCTTCTAAAAAAGCATACCGGTATGCAATGTATCTCATTTGATACTTTCAATTCATTCTGTCACTTTCATACTTTTGCGTCGATTTTTGCACTCACGCAAATAATGCCTCCTGTTCATCCAAGCGTGGACACATACCACACAAAATGATACCAAACGATTTGGTGTATAGCACTCTTTCAAAACATGTATGATAACCTTTCGTTCATAGCTGACTTTTATAATAAATGACAATTTTCTGGGTGTAAACTTTTTTGAGCTCATGGTATAGCCCAGGCTATTTTTAACCTACATAGCCTGGGAGGGGGGGGGGGGTCTTTTAAGGCCCCCACCAAAGATCTCGGCCATAAAAAGGCTGATCCCCGCGAAAATATGCATGCATGTCCAGTGTATGGTAATTTCCATTACGGTATTTGATAAAATCACTCATTTGCATATTTATGGTGATTTATGCAATTAAGGTCATAACCCATTTTTGTCTCGCCTGCGTAGCAAAAAAGCGAGACATAGGCGCCGCTTTTCCGGTGACGGCGACGACGACGTCGACATCAAAAACTTAACCTGAGGTTAAGTTTTTGAAATTGTAGTATAATTTTGAAAGTATAAGTTCTTAGTCAATGAAACTTTGACTATAGGGTACCGTAATTAACGTTGTATAAACCGCCCTCGTGTATCAACCGCACCCCTCTTCTTATTTTTGCCGAGATTTTTGTTGTTGGTGTAAGATCATTACCGGTAATGTAAATTAAAAAACAGTAGGGGACCTAAGATAGAACCTTGTGGTACACCATGTAATAGAAGAAAAATTGGAGGAATTATTATTATAAACTACATATTGAGATCTATCAGAAAGATTACTTTCAAACCAAGATGACAGACAAATTTGAGTGTTGTTCTAGTTTCCTAGTGGCGAGTCAACACCCCGATTACTGAGCTGGGAGACATTGCCAGGCATAGCGCTAGGTGGAGGGGGAATAAATCGAAACTTAATTTTTAATTTTTTTTTTTTTAGGTGTACCGTGTATAAACCGCACCCCCGACTTTGAATTTTTTTCGGCGGCAAAAAGGTGCGGTTTATACACCGTTAATTACGGTAATCAAGTATACCCAATCATGTGAGTAGAATTTCAGATCACAACGTTAAGGTCAAAGGTCATTTCAGGTCAACAGTCTTGGACTATGTTGTAGCATTATCATCGAAAACTTAACCTAAGGTTAAGTTTTTGAATTTTTGATATAATTTTGAAAGTATAAGTTCTTAGTCAATGAAACTTGGACTATAGGGTTATCAAGTCTCCCCAATCATGTGAGTAGAATTTCAGGTCACTAAGTTAAGGTCAAAGGTCATTTTAGGTCAAAAAACTTATACTTTGTTGTGGCATCAACATCAAGATTTTCAAAATGCTTCTACTTCGTTATTTTTCAACCGATTTTGATTCTGATTGTTTTATATGATAGGGCTAGGAGGGGGATTTAAAATTCTACACAGAATCGTGAAATATATTATCTATGCTAATTTATGCAAATCTATTCGAAATCACAAAAAAGGCTTCTTCTCCTTCATTTCTCGACCGATTTTGATTTGGTTTGCTTTATATCGTAGAGCTAACTTTGGTACACTAAATTTCTACACAGAATTTTGAAATTGTTCTCCATTAATTAATTATGGTAATTTATGCAAATTTATTCCAAAAATAACAAAAATTGCTTCTTTTCCCTCATTTCTTGACCGATTTTGATTTGGTTTCCCTTATCTGGTAGAGCTAAATTTGGAACACTAAACTTCTACACAGAATTGTGAGATTTTGCCCCATTGATTATTTATGGTACTTTATGCAAATGAAATGAAATTATGTCCCTTCCAGCCTTGTTCCAGGGCATCAAATTTTTATTTTTTGACCAGTTCAAAAGTGTATCACATAAATTTGTTGTTGCAGGATGCGGATGAGCGCTACGTCATTGACGTTCTGGTTTATCATATTGAATTGCGTTATGCAGGCGAGACCGCCGAGAGCGTTTCCCTTGTTACCCATAAATCATACATTCTTCATATTTAAACATTCGTTTTCACAACATGTATTATTACTCCAAATGAATTAAAGAATATATGACAACAAAATTTGGAAGAGCCAGGTTTTTCCTTATGTTATCTATTGCTTTGATAATTTCTTTTGTTTTTCTTTTTGTTTTTTTTAGGTTATGACAAAAGGTCACGTAACTCTGTAACCGTAGGTCCGATTTTTGAAAAATTTGATCCCCAACATACAAACATTCTCTGTGTGGCCATGCCATGAACCATAATGCATGGCCGTACAGAGGAATTTTTTCCTGTTGGGGACCGTGGGAAAATGCAATGAATTATTGATAATTTGTTGCATTTTATTTATTTATTTTTTATTAGTGGGGGCTGCCCATACGCTAGCCCCCGCTGCGTACAGTCATGATTCAGTGGCAAAGCAATGGCCTCGTAACTGAGGCCCCAGGATCAAACCGAGTCGATGTGATATATTAGTGCCCTTTTGTGAGGCATTAATCCTCATTAGTGTCAGAGGAATAAATCATTGTCAACATCATTCCATAAATTGTGGTAAAAAATAATTATTCCACCTTTATGACCAACAGTGTAGATCATATAATAGATATATCGAGGTCTAGAAAATTTGAGACACTGTCTATTAATCATCGCACGAAAGAATGTTACAGTCATTTGGGAATCCCACACACCCTGCACTGTATTGTATCCGCGCTCGCTCAAAGGAACTTTATACACATAAACCAATAGGGATTTCAGCAGAATTTGTTATGCAGCCTGTGGCGTTTTCTAAAAACTATTGACCGTTAGGCGTCATGGCTAAAATCACGACTCCAATTTTGACTAATCAGATGACTAGATTTCTAAAGAGAGGTACTGTATTTGCCGGCGATAAGGCCGCAGCGCCGCATAGGCCGCACCTCCAATTTTGACATTAAAAAAAAATTGTCGGAGGCGGGATATGAACCCTCCCGTACAAATGTAGATGCGACACAAATCACCGCCTTAGACCGCTCGGCCATCCCGTCCCTGATGCTACCCTTTGCACCTTTCTCTTGTGTATATATTAGTATATAGCTCTATGATTGCGCCATAGCTTTGCTCGCGCGAGCGAGAGGATTCAGGTTGCTTTAGCTATGGCAAAAACTTAAATCTAGATCTACCAGTAGAGTTTGGTTGGTAAGTTATGAATTTTATTTACGAGATTGAAACCTTCATTCCAAAAATATATTAAACACATAATTGTCGGTAAGACATGTGTTACTCTAGACAATTATTCTAGAAATGTCCATCACCTTTCATTGTTGCCCCATATGTTCAAATTCGTGTCTTTGACTTGCAATTTTTTAATTTTTTTTTTACTCTTTCGCCGCAAAGGCCGCACCCCAACTTTTTGATATTTTCTCTTCCAAAAATACTGCGGCCTTTACGCCGGCAAATACGGTATACAAACCAGAATGAAATAGATCCACTCACTTATAACTGATACAAGGTTTACAAGCAATGTTGCTGTTATATGTTACAGGGTTGTTTTCCTCAGATCAGGAAGGGAAACTTCAGGTTCAATGGAGCTGCTCAAGCTGACTTGAACTCATTTCTTCACACCCTCACATGTTCACAAAGGTCAGTACAGTATATATGATTTGAAAATAAAATTGAGATAACAGCATGTATACTTTTCATAAATAGTGCAATACAGAAACAATATAAAGAGCCTCTAATGGAATACTAAGAAAGATACAATTACTTAAACCCCTGCTGGGAGAATGCAATAAAGTGATACTGTGTGTACCTTAACACAATTTAAGATTTCTTGTCTGACAAAACTAAATATTCAGTAACAGCTTTATTGAACAAATTCCCTCTGTAAAGTGCTTTCAACCTTAAATTTGTAGATATTTTAAGTACTCGTTTTTCTTGTCTCGCCTGCGTAGCAAAAAGCGAGACATAGGCGCCGCTTTTCCGGTGACGGCGGCGGCGTCAACATCAAAAACTTAACCAAGGTTAAATTTTTGAATTTTTAATATAATTTTGAAAGTATAAATTCTTATTCAATGAAACTTGAACTTAATGGTTATTAAGTATCTCCGATCCTGTGAGGAGAATTTCAGGTCACTAAGTCAAGGTCAAAGGTCATTTCCGGTCAACAAACTTGGACTTTGTTGTGGCATCGGGTTAAGATTTTGAATTTTTATCATAAATTTGAAAGTATACATTCCTATTTCATGAAACGTGAAAATAAGGGTTATGATTTATCAAGTATCACCAATCATGTGATTAGTCTTTTAGGTGTCAAGGTCAAATGTCATTTCAGGTCTGCAAACTTAGACTTTGTTGTGGCATCAACATCAAGATTTTGAATTTATAGCATAATTTCTAAAGTGTTTGTTCAAATTCCATGAAACTTGTACACAAGGGTTATCAAGTTTCACAAATCATATGACACAAATTCCAGGCCACAAAGTCAAGGTCATATGTCATTTTAGGTCAGTAGACTTGAATTATGTCTTTCACAACTTAATATGAGAATTATTACATCAATTTTGTGTTACCGTATTTGTTCATATTTCATTAAAGTTATCAATCTTGGTACAAATAATAGTAAATAATTCTTGTGATGATTCTTAGTGAATATTCACTTCAAAATGCTGATTATATTTAAAGGATTTTTTTTTTTTTTTTTTTTTTGGGGGGGGGGGTCTGGTTATAGGCCACCCTGCCTATAAATAATGTCCCAATCTCAATTTTTCATGATATCGAATTGCGTGATGCTGAGAGCGTTTCCCTTGTTTTGTGTGTGTTCTTGATATTTTTTTTCTTCTTCTTCATTCATTGATCAAAATGTTTCTTGAGACTGGTACTTTCAGTATTACCAATAGCAGTTCGATTTTTTATTTCTCATCTTTCAAACAGATAATAAGAATAAATCTGTTTCCTTTACAGCTTACAAAACTTGGCCGACTTGGACAACACTAGTGACTCGGATGGCTCAGCTGACTTGGGCTACTCAAATGACTCGGGCAACTCTGCTGACTCAGACAACTCTGCTGACTCAGACAACTCTGCTGACTCAGACAACTCTGCTGACTCAGACAACTCGGCCGATCTGGGCAACTCTGACGTTGTTCAGTTTCCCAGCACTCCTTACATTCCTGATCAGCCTATATTGACGTCACCTGGCCAACCATTAAGAGGCAGTTATCATGGCAACACATACAACACAAGAAATGTCTCATCAGAGCAATCAAGAGCAATGTACCAAGAAACCATGGCAAGCACTAGTCGTGTGAACTCGGTACGTGCCAACATCAGTGGTACCTCAGACACCCTACCAAGGGGGTTAGGTGCTAATATTCCAGTCTTGCAAGAGTCTCAGGACAATGTCAATGTGGGGCAACCTTTGCAACAGCCACGTACATTGAGGACTCAGTCTAGTTTTTGGCCTGTCTCTTCAGAGAATAATGCACTACCCCGGAATCCTGGGCCTAGTCAGCCCCAATTTATGCCTTCCAATCTCCAATCAGGCATGTTTGCTGGGTACCACACCCCTGCTCCAAATGAGCCATTCAGTGGTTATTATTACAGTCCTGAGTATAGAGAGGCTTACTTCAATCCTACCTACCAGCCCATTATGTCAAGTTCTACTCCGTCTCTTCACCCTCCGGTCTCAAGACATGATCAACCTGCCATGTTCGCAGGGTACCTTTTACCAACACAGTATCAACCACCGGTTCATAAGAGCACAGGTGCTACACGTAACACCATGCCTTGGTCAAATCAGGATCACTACACTCAATCCTACCATGCCTCTACATCCAGCTCTGCTTTGTTGTGTAACCCTCCAGTCTCTGGATATCATCAACCTGCCATGTCGAGACGGCACATTTCAGATACACCAGTCCAACCAATGATTGTAGAGCAGGCAAGATATAGCAGAGCTCAGCCTATTCAGGATTACTCCACTACAGGATTCCATTTAGCTTCCCAAGATCGACCAAGTGAACGGAAAAGAACAAGTTCTTCAAGTAGACAAGGTTCTTCCAGTCAGGTATCACATTCAACCAGCTTTTTGTCTCCATTCCAAAGTACAAGCAGTACTGGTAGAGATCAAGACTTTTATGTTGGCAATACATCAGATACTGTATCTCAGACACACAGAGAAGGTAGTAACAGTCGGAGCAGGCATTATAAGAGGCATGCTCCTTCTACTCAGTCAAGAGCTCCACAGGATGATCCTGAAATTCCAGAGAAGCAGTCAAAGTATGAAGTCTAGTTGATATGGTATCGGAAGAGTAAGACAGTGTCCCACTAGTAACACTTCATCATGTCTCTGTGTATGCATGATACAGGGCTTCACACTAACTTTTGTTGGAAAAGACGTCGAGATTTAACTTTTTACAGTCTGTATGCATGAGCCCTAAGTAGGAACTTCCAAATTCAATGGTCCAGACCTAGATTTTGGGTGACCATGTGTCCCAGGTGCCTCTTGGTTTCAAGCCCTCAAATGATAGCAACACATCGGGGATAAAAAGGGATAATTTTTGGCGATGTTTCCAAATGTTCGAATATTTGTACAAAGTTCTCTTTTTCACCATGGAGAGTAGAGTCCACTATTTAGTGTTGGTGTATGAATTTTACGAGAAAGAGAACATAATATTGTCACAATGTTCAAATAATGTGAAAGGCCTAATAATGTAGAAAGTGATGCAATAATAGGATACCTTATGTGAATGTGTACTCAATAAGCCCAAAACAGAGTTGCATCAATAGCCCATTGTGTATTTGTTTTATGCAGGAAGGGGGTATGTAGTATGGAAAATATTTTTGAAAATACTCGATACATCTCAAATTACTTATCAAAATGTCACTGTATTTAAGTTGATGTCATTGCACATGTTGAATAAAAATATAACTAAGGAGAATCTAAAATAATTTGTGAATTTGTTACCAGAAGTGACTTGGATGTTAAGAGCCATATTGCTCTAGTTATCATGTCAGCAAACTTGATAGAACTCGGTATACTTGAGAATTAGCTTTGCTTGATAAAGGTGTTTGTCATAGGCCTGAGTTATCACTTACATTTTATCTGACATGCATTGTTTTTTTATTCTGCAAATATGAAAATACATCTAGTTCTAGATTTTAAAATCCATTTAAGGAAATATTTTCCAGGATTTTCTTCACATCACTCCAGTTTTTTTGTAAACATGCTGGGGCAACGGGCATCTTTCTCTTAAACTATTGACCGTTAGGCGGGCATGGCTAAAATCACGACTCCAAAATCAGATGACTAGATTTATCTAACATACTAAAGAGAAATATATTTACTTTTATTGTTTATGCATGTTATAACTACATGTACATCCACCAGTACTATATAATGAATCCAGTTGAGGAAATATTTTCCCGGATTTTCTTTACATCACCCCAGTGTTTGTGTAAATATGCTGTTATAATTGTACGATACATGTTTGTTCTAATTGTATTGAGTACTGGATTTCAATAATATTGATGATACGTTTTTCCGGCGTTTCTTTGCATCATTATGTTTATGATTATGCAATGGATGTTATGATACATGTATATTTTGAACTTGTATATGTTTGCCATACTGCCTTGTAAATATGTTTAATATTTTAGTAAGTTTGCATTTCTGATTGGCCTATAAGATACAAACGTAGACACTAAATACGCTTATGAGCATTCTGTTACCTGGCCTCTTTATCACCATCGTCTTCTGAATAAGTAATGTAAATTTTTATAATCCACTCTGATTTTCATAATCATTGCGAATCGCTCAGATCTGTGAGTTTATTCTGAATTATGTCATGCAAACGGATGTACTAAATAGGTCTTTCTATGTATATTGGATGATACATAATTATACATGTATGTATTGGTAATCTATGCAAATGTGATTTACTTAATTATGATATGATAATTTCCTCGAATTGATAGATGTGGGTTAGCAATATGCATCTACTGCACAAATATTTTATTTGTCATAATAGGCCATTTTTGTGATGCAACCAAATTTATACTTAAGTGCCTTGAAATTTAGGAATTATTTCATGTACCTGTTACAAATAATTGCATTTCAGTAGCCAGAATGGAAATTCCATATATTCCGTGTTGTTAGATAGGGCAAGCCATAATGTTTGTCGTACCAAGCAACAACTAATGTATGCAATTTGAATGCTAGCTAGTTTATTAACAGGTGAATAAAATAATTCCAAAAATTTCAAGGCACTTAAGTATAAATTTGGTTACATGACAGAAAAGGCCTATTGATGTGTTTGTCATGAGCAGTCATGATTCTAAATTGAATAAACAAGGAAGATTTAAATATACCTTCTGTATCTGACTGACTGATGTGAAATCTAGGAGAGACATGGGAAGACGTTGAGAGAGAGAGAAAGAGAGAGAATGAAAGAGGGCTAGAGAGGGAGAGAGAAGAAGGGGCAAGGGAAGGAGAGATGAGAGAAACAAACGCACACAAGTATTTAGTTTCAAAGGGAGTGAGCAAGAAAAACATAAATATAAAGGATCGGAAAAGGGAGATGCCAAGATGAACAAGGATTGAAAAAGATGAGATCAAAAGGGGGATGTTTAAAGAAAATCGCAAAGGAGAAAACATGCCGGGAAATAGTGATAGCTAGATGACTTTGGAGGGAGATTAATTGAGGAAAAACTGGAGAGGGACGACAGAAAGGCAGATTGAATATAGCGTTATGAAGACTGATGAAGGAGGTTGGGGGTGGGGGTAAAGAGAACGAGGACGAGAAACGGTAAAAGGGTAAAAAGAGATAAGTAACTTTAATGATTGTAGAGAGACTGAGAGGAAAGAGTAGTAGGCCTAGAGGGATTTAACGAAGGGTGTAGAAATAAGGGAGATATATACTTGGACAAAAATAAACAGCAATATGAGCTAGAGAGAGAGCAAATAGTAAGAGATACCAGCAGAAATTAATGGAAATCGGAAGAAAGAGAGAGAGATGGAGAGAAGCAATATAGCAGAGGTAATGAGAAGGAATGGAAAGGGAGAGGGGGCAGAAATTGGACGGAGCCGTACCAGGACATAAATAAACGGAATAGTGAAGGATTTAGACGAGAAAGAGAGAGGACATTATAATAGGGATACGATTACGACATGATATATATATTATTTAGATAGATAGCTAGATAGATAGACACATGATAACCCGTACACCAAAACATTGTTAAAATTTTCGCCCTCTGGGCTTTGTCAAGTAATGATTTTTTTTTTTTTACTCTGATATTGCTATGCGGATGTCTAAGCTTTAGTTTAAGTTGATATCAGATTTGGCTGTCCGATTCAGCCCGTTATTATGTTAGAGCCGATTTTTCTTGCAACATTGCCCCGAAAATGTGTTTATTTTGGTCCGCCATGTCAGAACAAGTGTCACGCGCGCCGTAATTTATGAACGCGAATCCTTCATGATTCAGCCGCAGACCAAAAAAAACCTACACTGTTTCGGTATATTTTAAGATATTTTGTTTCATCACTTTCGTCAAATAATGAGTGTCCATCCATTGTGAAACTGTGTAAGACAAAACAAAAAAGGCGACTTGTAAGTCATATGGCTGTAATTTTTTTTTAATGAAAATACAACATTATATAAAGCATAAGTAAAATGGATGTAAGTGAGTAATAAGTATTAAACATAGATATGGAATATTATGATAACTCTGAAAAATCTCACAATATAATACAAGATAATATTCCATTTACACTTCCAGTTAGTATGAAGGGGTGACCAAAGTTCGCGGACATTTTAGAACATATTACAAAATGTGATATTCGATCTATGATTTCTCACATTCTACACAACTTTATTTATTTCAATTATTACCAAATGGACGGCAAATATGGAATATGATAATCTCACAATAATATACAAGGTAACATCCCATTTACCATACCGGTTAGTATGATACATTCCATTTATCATTAGTTAAATGTCTTAATAATGCTCAGTCCTCCTTATATTAACGTAAAGAAAAAAACACCTTTTTAACATAATTAAATATAATCCCTTTACTTACATATAAAACTGGAGATACTGATCATCATGTAATACTAGTAATACCTGATTTATTCATTACATTTGAGATTTTTTTCTAAAAAAACACACACACAGATAATATACCACAAATAAATCAAGGCTTCTTTTAAAGTGCAACGGCTTTGACTTATGGTAGTGACAACTCAAGATATTAAGGCTGAATTGTAATTCAGACTTTGTCTATACTAATCTACACATGAAATACAATTGAAAGTACTGATAATGCATTTCAAACTGTTTTCTGTTATCGTTTTAATTTCAAAAAGAATATACGCTTAAAATGTCAGTGCATTGTATTGTTGACGGCCCATGGTAAATAAAGGTCCATGAAAAATGAACTCACAAACATTAAGCCGTATTCATAAAAATGAGTAATTACTAACTATTAAAAGCTTTAAGTAAAACCATAAGCTAGATAAGTAAAATGTGTAACTTAGGTAATTGCTAAAAATCTTATTCATAACCTTTCACTTTGAATATGATAACACATATAAATTGTAGGCTAAATCGGAATATAAGATTTAGAAATATCGACTTTAAAGATTAGTTATCAACCCCGTTATTGAATTAACAAAATATTGGAAACAAATATGTTGGTAATAAATTGAGTAAAAACGGTAATGCGCTTCACCAGACAAAGGGTATGGTATGCCTTAAAAGGTAATAGGTATACGGGGGTAAAGACTACTACTTGCATTATAAAAGTAACATATTTTCATCAATGTACAGAAGTTTGACTTTAAAGTTGAAAATCGAGTACAAAAATTATAAATAGATCTGCTTGGAAAAACACTAGATACTGCTGAATTATCACTTTGGTTAATAAGCATTCAAGCATTTACTAATCTAGAAACATATACTTATTAGAAAGTAGTAACTATACTTCGGCTTAAAAATTTGGAATTGTTTACTTTTTGTTATCATTTATTAAAATCAATCATATTAAAGTGGTATATTTTCAGTCGTAATATGAACTGCTTCCGGAAACGGGATTAGCAGTGACGCCACCAAGACGTCTCCATAGATGCATGAATGTGTTGACCACGCCGTATGGGTCGCGCAAGGAAATACGCGCGCGAGTAGACAAGAAGACGCGATGACTAACGCGGGCGCGCATAGACACCTTTTAAGTTTAGGCCTGCTGAAAGAAGAGATGTATTCCTGCCGTTTGATGTACAATATTCCTTACTAAAGTGTTCAAGAGATGTATACATTAAGATATTAATGGCATGATGTAATGCCTTTTAGCATAAATAAAGCAATGCCCTTCTAGTTCTCATCGGATTGATTGGATTTTCCTAAGTTTAAAAAAAAGAGAGACAAAGAAATTAAATCGAAATCCCGACGTTCTGCTTGAACTTCCCCTCCTCTTTCAGCAGCTCAGCTAGTCTCCGAATACCCTAGGAGGGAGAAAGTAAAAAGACAAAGAAAGATATGATAAAGGAAAGTAAGACATCAATCAATTAGGCTAGATATATAGAACACATAAAAAAATTGTTGTAGTTAAGAAATATCCCTAAACACACTCTTGAGTGCAGAATTAGTTTAATTTAGCTTTATATCATATCAACAACGGCCAAACTCATCCACAGAGTATCATATCACATACTTAGCTTCCAAAAAGGTTTGGATCATTAACTGCAGGCTCTGCAGTGCCCTGTTAAACTGCTGAAGCATTCAAACAATTTGTCTTACCACTACTAATAAGTCACCTCAACGTCATCAAGTGTGATTAAAACAGATTGATGGCGTGACAAAGGAGCTTACTGCGGTTGCTGGGAATCAACCTTAATTGTACCTTATCATCAATAGTGGTGTTGGTTATTTTACCTGACTGCTAAGAAAGCATAAATGCTTGTTAGTTAGCAACCAGACGACCGACGGCTCTAGGTCCTCTCCGAGGGACCTGGTAATGAGGATTAATACCTATTACCAAAGGGCACTAGCGCATCGCCTTGGTTTTGAACCCGGGTCACCGGATTGCGAGACCTCCGCTCTACCAACTGAGCTGAGCTATCGCGCCTCCTGGGACTAACCCACTAGACAACAACACGTAAGAGAGGGACTAGATTACTAGACCACAACACATCTAAGAGAGGGACTAACCCATAGACCACAACACATCTAAGAGAAGGACTGAAATGGTATTGGAACACATGGTGTCTTTCTCACCTCATCCATATTTTCGTCGGAGCAGACAGAGTAACAGGCCCTGATGAATGGTGACGGTTTAGTCTTGTCCGGGTAGAACGCTATACCAGGTACAAACATGACCTCTTTCTCCATAGCCTTCTCGGTGATGAGTTCATAGGAATCCTCAACACCAGTCAGCTCGATCCATATAAACATGCCACCGGTAGGGACATTCCACTTGGCCAGACCTGTTAAAGCAATCATAACAAATACATTTTGAACCCATTCTCAAGAAGTTTTAAATGGTCTGAATGAACCAGATTCACCCGCAACATTCGTATTTCTCTTCAAAACAATTTAATTCTACTAAAAATTTAACTTTCAAATGTACATAATGTAGCTAACAAGGAGTGTCAATTTGTATTAAAAGGAATATAAGCTATGCATTTGAGAACATCTTACCAACTCATGTATTCTAATTAACATGTGTGTTTAGGAAATGTCCAATTCAACAGATGTCATTATTGCAGCAGAAATGAATTCGCAACATGAAGTGATCTTTCCATTACATGTTGAATATTTCTCACCAATTGAAATGAAGCATTAAATACAACATGTGTTCTCTTGTTTTCCTTCGCCTTTCAAAATCATTGAGTTGGTCATTTTAGATGCTCTATTGTGATGTCATACTTGACAGACCTGTTAAGTGTTTGTCCATAGCAGCAAGTAGGACATCTCTTTTGCGTTGGTAGAAGGCAGCTACCTTCTCTGCATGGTTCACGAGTCCATCAATACCCCAGTGGTTGAGCAACTTGTACAAGGTGAGCTGTACAGACAGAAGAGAGAGAGAATACATCTTCAGAATCATAGAGTTTGATAAAAGAATTTCAATAAACCGATCACCAAAAGGGTTATTGTGTGATTGGTTTCTTCAAACGTTTCCTTGTAGCTGTGTATGTTTGGGGTTTCATACTAGTATCCTGTACTAAAGATATCAGCATCGAATACTTCAATAACAAGGTATTGCAAGTCTGAATATGAGTACCATGTGTCACAATTTGGTAACAGAATATTGAGTGCACATGAATAAAGTTCTACAGGCACAAACGTTCACTCCAGGTTAAATAATAGGCCTTAATAGAAGCCAATTTGTTTTGGTTATTTTTAGAAATGTATTTCATGTTTTAAACGAACGGAAATGTTCTTTCATTGCGGTAATTCTCTAAAGTCATTTACAGTAATACTAGTGATGACTGATGCAAACCTGGCACCAGGGGCAAACAATGAAATTGCGGTGCAATTTTTGAATTTCCTCTTGAGCAATGAGCATACAGGCCAGTGATTTTTGATAACTTTGATGTACGAGTGTGCCATTAGTATACCATTCTTCATATCTTCTTCTTTTTACTTTTTTTTTAAACATGTGCTGACAGTGCTTTTTGACATATTTTTTTAATCAGGCACTTATCCACTAAATCAACAACAGCAGTACATTAGAAATAAAATAATACATGACTTTATCCTACATGAATAGTATCAACAAGATGATGTATAAAGCACATATGACTGAGGCACTGAGCATTTTCATAATGTATCCTTAAGTGGACAGTGTAATGTCATCTGAATCTCATAGCACTAAACAATAAGAATACCCTGAATTTTTAATATACTATTTCATATTATCAAAAGTGAAACTAAGTGTTTTTCCAATGTTTCTGACATCAATACCTCCCCAAATTTCCCAAATGTACTTGAACATCTAGCAGCTAATACCTCCTGGCATTTGAATGAATGCCATTTATACTGTGTATAATAAACTGTAATGGTCCATGCTCATAAGAATGTACATTATTCTTGACGCAATCTCTCAGCCATTACATGTATCTAGTTTCAAAATATTAAAGGCCGTCTGTACTAGTTTGACTAGAAGGGATTAGACCACCCAGGGTGGTCACTGACAGGTGGCTATTTCATCAACTCAGCTCTCAATTAACATAAGAAAAAGAGGATCATGGGGGACCAATGGTCACTGATTAGGCATTGTTTTCTATATAGAGGGAGCAAGTAGCTACAAGTAGTACAGTGGGCCTTTAATGAAAGCAAAAACTAAAATCTATAAGCAGCATTGATCTTTATAATATATCATAAAATATCAAGTACATTCATTATAAATAATCGAGAGTTAAGAAATAATAATAATCTGAAAATACTCTTGTTTCTGACTTACTTGGGTGAGTACACTTGTGTGAAGGACAGAAGCCTGCATATGCATGACGATGCGTGTCACCACTGCCTGGGGACCGGTACATACACCAACACGAAGGCTGTCATACCAAAAGGAAAACAACTTTCATTAACATAAATATCATATTACACATGAAATGTATCTTCACAAGATACTGTATGTGGGACATTATTAGTATAAAGAATGTTTCTTTAAACTATTTTAAATAAAGGGAAGCTATGAATGTATTTATATGATTCTAACTGGCTCTTCTTAAAAATTGTGCAGGTGCATTCATGGGTTCCACGAATTTCTTCTTAGTTTCATGTAAAAAAAAAAAACATGAAACATTTGTTTTGACATTTAAATAAAGAGAAATTGTTGACATCAAAAGAGTTGTCGGGCACAAAGTAGGTCCCAAAGTATTGGACTCTCTTTATGGGGACTTCTGGCATGATGACCAAAGGAGTGTTGCAAGTCAAATTTGACCTTTGAGTACTCTTTGTTTTCTTCACATAACAATATGTGGTGCACTGGCGTACCTATGGGGGGGGGCAGGGGGGCAGAGTGCCCCCCCCCCCCCTGACGGGCTCCAGGGGAAAAAAAGAAAAAGGGGAAAAAAAAGAAAAGAAAGGAAAGGAAAGAAAAAGAAAAAAGGAAAAGGGAAGAAAAAAAGGAAAGAAAGAGAAAAAAGGAAAAAAAGGAAAAGGAAAGAAAAAGGAAGAAGACGAGAAAAGGAAGAAAAAGGGAAAAGAAAAGGAAAGGAAAAAAGATGGGGAAATTTAAAAAAAAGACCATGGCCGTACGCACCAAGGGGGGGGGGGGCAGTTGACCCCAGATATTTTGAAAACGTACAGTTTTTTTCCTGAAAATGTAATGTAGGCCTTTACCAAATCCTTCAATTCTACTTTTGAAAATGCAAAAGTACCCTCATGACTAGTTCGGTCGCTCGAACTCCCTTCACTCCTTTTGCTTTTGAGATTCTTCGAAAACTTTTAACGCATCTTTCCCCCTCCCCCACCAGAAAAATATTCTGCATACGGCCCTGAAAAATTAAGACAAATGAAAATAGGAAAATATAAGTGATATAACAAATTCGAAACTCTTCGCTGGCGCGAACTGCTTGCTAGCCTATTTTGTATTAAATGTTTTCACTTGCTCGTCCCCCTGAAAAAAGAAAAGGATTAGCATTGCCTAGAATTGTGCCTGCCCCGACGGGCCCCGACTTGCAACCATGGCAACAATAACACACAATGTATGTACCAAATGTTACTAAAAGAGACTAATTCATTTTTCTCGCTCGCTACATTCGCTCGCGAATAAAATGAATAGACATTGCTTTGGAAACAATTGTGCCCACCTTTGACCTGCAACAATATAATAAAAAATGGAAGAGTTTTTTCGCCCTCTCGCCAAAAAGGAATTGAATTGCGTTGAACGCGATTGCGTCCACCCTGACCTGTACCAATAAAAACAAGTTTATTTATTAATTTCTATTAAAAGAGAATATATTTTCTTTGCTTGCTCGCTATGCTCGCTCGCCAAAATGGAATTGACACCGCTAACGTGCCCGCCCCAACCTGCAACAACCAGTTAATAATTATGTACCAAACGTTATTCAAAAAAGTTTTGGTGTGCTCGTGCTCGCCAAAACGGAATTAACATCACCTTAGACATGATTGTGTAAGCCCTGCCCTGCAACAAAAAAATCTGAAATTTATGAACCAACTATCATTACAAAAATTTTGCTCGCTCGCTACGCTCGCTCACCAAAATAGAATAACACCGCTTTTAATAATCACGTCCCTGACATGGAACAATGAATCCAAGTTTATGTACCATATTTTCCCTATTAAAGAGAAGTGAATTTTTTTTCGCTCGCTCGCTACGCTCGCTCGCCAAAATAGAAATAACACCGCTTTTAATAATCACGTCCCATGACATGGAACAATGAACCCAAGTTTTATGTACCATATTTTCCCTATAAAAGAGAAGTGATTTTTTTTCGCTCGCTAGCTCGTGGAATTATGTGCCCACCACTAACCTGCTACAATATCATTAAAAAGAGAAATGTAGGGGGTTGCCTGCCCGCCAAAATGGGATTGACATTGCCTTAAACACGATTGTGCCCGCCCCCGACCTCCAACAATGAAACAAATTTTATATAGCAATTCATTGAGAGAAAGATGTATTTTCGCTCGCTAGCTAAAATGGGTATAAAATCACCCTAAAAACAATATTGTTCCCGCGCCCTGCATGGGACAATTGAACCAAGTAAGTGGCAATTATTAAAAAAGAAGTGATTTTTTTCTTGCTCGCTACGCTCGTTTGCAAAAAAATGAAATTAACGTCGCTAACAAGTGAATGTTCCCACCCCCAACTTGCAACAATACCAGTTTACATACCAAACGTTACTTAAAGATTTTTTTTTGCTCGCTCGCTCGCCAGAAGTGAAAATTAGCATCGCCTTTTTTTTGTTTGTTTCGGTCGCATGCCCCCCCCCCCTGACGGAGTACCCCAGGTACGCCACTGATGTGGTGCACTTAGCAAGCAGAGAGCTCAAATTAAACAAATTTCAATTGTCCTGTGAAATACTTAAGTGTTAGTATTTCTCGATTATCTGGCTGTCTACAGACTACAGTACTTTTTCATGATTTAGCATTACAAAAAAAAAAATCCCCATATACAATTCTTTCAGCTTACCCTGCAGATATTATTTTGGCAAAAGAATCAAACCTGAGGACCCTTCCATCCTCATCCATGGAAAGAAAACTTGGACTCTTTTCCTGTATAAGAGGAGAATAAGATAATACTATGAGAACTAAAGACTAGAAATCAATATGATATTCAATATCATAATATGTAACTTTTCAGTTACAATTTTTCAATTAACATCATCTAAACAAAAACCAATTTGCTTTGTAAGTTTTTTAAATTTAATTCACTGATATATAGCATTGAAGTATTTTGCTTAAAACTTTACTTATGAAAAGATTATATTGCACTTGCGAGAATTTTAGTGAAAACCCTTGACTAATCATTTCTCCTTCTCCTTCTACTCCTCATCCTCCCTCTTCTCCCCTCCCCCTCCCTTCCTCCTCCTTCCAATTCCTCCCCTCCCTTCACACCCCATCCCCTTTTCCGTTTCTTCCCCCTCCACTTCCCTTCCTCCTCCCTTTTCTCCCCTCCCCCTTCCTTCCTCCTCCTTCCCATTCATCCCCTCCCTTCCTCGTCCCCTTTTCTGCTTCTTCACCCTCCACTGCCCTTCCTCCTCCTCCCTCTTCTCCCCTCCCCTCCCTTTCCCTACCCATCCCCTTTTCTACCTCATCCCTCTCCTCGTCCCTTCCTCCTCCTCTTTACTCCCCTTTACCCCCCTTGTCCTCTTCACCACCACCTCCTCACTAATCCATAATCATCTGCATCAAACTGTTTCCCTAATACCACCACCACCATAATTATCATCATCATTAGATACTAGTCCCTGCTGCCCCTAACTCCCTGTTGTAAAGTAGTGACCAATGGGTTAAGAACAAGCCGTCTCACCTTTCCAAATTGTAGGAAGTAGTAGGCATCATCTTCCAGAATCAGCAGATCATATTTTCTGGCTAGTTCATAGATTCTCATCCTCCTCTCAAGAGTAACACAGCTACCTGTTGGATTATCCCCATTAGGAACAATGTACAGCAGCTTTGGTATATCTGATCTAAGTGACAATAGTGAAGATATTAAAAGATTTGTATGGTCGGAATCATGATGTGCACACCATTACACATATAAAATAAGTGAAGGCATTGGTTCGTTCGTTCGTGTCTCCTTAGATCAAGATTAATGTATCTTGATCTTCGGAGTAGTTGCTACAACCGGCCGTGTCAGACACGTTGCCCCAGGGTGCGAGATAGGACTCTTAAGCGTGCTTAAGGCATTGGTAATAATCATCCACACAAGGAACCTTTGGATTGAATATGACAATATTGACAAGAAAGTGACTTTGGTCTGGGTCATGATGTGCACATTACTATGATTATAATATACATCACTTATGGCGTTAGTAATTAGGACTATCTACACAAAGTACCTTTGGAACAGTCCAGACCTGAGGCAATTGTTGAGGGTTTTTGGACTGTCTCTCTGTCTCTGTCTATCTGTCTGTCTCTCCGTCTCTCTCTCTCTCTCTCCGTATCTCTCTCTCTCTCTCTGTATCTCTTACCCTTCTTTCTTGGCATCCTCTGGATCCCACCTGGAGAGGATCTGTTCTAGGTGGTCTGGATTCAAACCACCATCATCTACGTTAACAGGGATAATGTCTGCCCCGAGTGGCTCCATCTGTAGTCAAACAGAAGACATGTGAAGAATGTCAGAGCTTTCCTCTTCTTTTAATAAAGTAGAGGTTCATTGATTTTAAATATCCATTTAATTTGTATCATTGCACAAGGCAAGGTTAGATCGAACAATGTAATCAAAATCCATTGCTTGGAAACAATTAAAGTAACGATTATTATCAATTTTAAAACGATAAAATGCCACCCCACTTTTGCACTTGAAGAGCTCTCCGAACACTGCCAACATTTGTGACGTACCTCAAGGGACCAAATTGGCATTTATAGCAGACAATTTCCCATTAACAATGCACACATTTTCAGTGCCTGTTTTGTTGTCTTCTCTTCACTTATTTCTCTTACTTCACTAGTGTCATTGTAACTGTTTGATCCGTTGCCTGGGACTGAAACAAGGATTCGTTTAAGAACTATAATGAATTAAACCATCAGCATACTTTTGAACACTTTTCAGATTTTAGCAAATTTAGGCGCGCGTGGATTTTTTTTTTTTATCTTAACGCATATATGTTGTCAATTAAGGTCGGAATAGGCTGAAATTTGGGCTATCCGATCCCTGCGGAAAAAACAGTATTTCTACATTCCACACACATAAATTGATATATGAGAATAATTTCCTTGAGTATAACATTGAACAAATTTGGAACAAAGCTCCATGAATTCATTAGTTATTGTTCTGTAGAATATTTTTCCTTCTCAAAGACATGTTATTATTCAAATTTATTATAAAACAATTCACACTTAAATAATGAATGAACATAAATAACCTAGGACCAAGGTTTTACAGATAAAATAATAAGTTCCTCAAGTAGGGTAAACGAACTAGTATACTCAACAAATAAAATTTGGGACAAATCAGATAGAAATGTAGATTCATTGTTTATGCACACAGAGGCCAGGTTTATTGAGTACTCTCTCAGCGGGAGAGGTTGGATTGCACCTCCCCTGCTCCAGCCATGGAGAGACCAACAATTCTTGGCACATGCATTGGATATCTTCTACTAAGCAAACCGACGAAGTTTTATATCTTAATCTTACACAGTTTTGGAATTATAGCTAGGCCTAATTATAGCCAACCCTCACTCTATCAAATATTTTCCAGATTGTACATTTATGATTTTGTAATGTGTATCAAATGTCCATTTTGGCCTAGCACAGCGTTGTCAAAGTGCAATACCTGCCGGTCCAAATTATAGAAAACTTGCAGAAAAAAAACTTGAAACATAAGATTTAACACTTACCATTGCAATAGCACCAGAATACAATGGTACACCAGCTAGCACCTTATCACCTCTCGATATAAGATCTTCACAAGCCTGAAAGTAAAAAATAACAAGGAAAATACACCGATCGGATTTGGGCCTACTGATTATCTGACAAAACTACATTTCTCTTGTAAATAAACATCTAGTCAATGATGATATGCATTAATTGCATTTGCAAGCTTGATATAATGTTTACATCTTTATTTAAAGTATTTATTTGAAGTAGAAAAGAACTGAACTAAAATGTCTTCTTATATATCCATCATGTACTGTATCCATCATCTATGTATTAATCAGTATGCAAGGCTCTCGCGCAGCTAGCAGTCTCCATGTTTGACCAGCTCAGGGCCCCGTCTTATAAACAGTTGATTTTAATCGCAACTTATTTGTGAATGATATCAATCACAAGACTATGTGATGAGATAGGAGACTGCAAACTTGCGATTGATTAGAGAACTTGCGATTGATTTTGATCAATCGAAACGCTTTATAAGACGGGGCCCTGGGGTACCTTATCAACTTGTTATATAAGCCAGAAGTATATGACATATATAGAGGCTACCGAGTATCAAATTTACAATGGGTACAATTAACCAACCAGGGAAGCCAAAACAGTTTCTAAACAGTTTCCATTGGGGGGGGGGGGGCATTTTACTAATGACCGGTCATTATCCAAATTACGCGTTATATGCTAAATAAATGCCTGGTCGCATGTACGCTTTCAACCAATCATTTGATTAGGATCCACGTCATCATCTTATAAAAACTCTGTTGTGCTGGTTATTTGACACTACATACCATACATAGTCCATGTTGACTCCCTGCTGTAATAACCATTTCAAGTTTACTCCCATCTGTTCTGCTCTGCGTTGGAGGGTTGTGTATTTTGACCTGTAGGGCCATCAGCCAGTCACGTAAATCACCAAACCTGCAAATAGTGTAGTTATTTATTGACCTACTATAGGACTATCAGTTATCATAGGATTGGTACATGTACTTTAATTGTTATAGTTAGCAGTTGTTATACCTGCATAAAGATTGATGATACAAATGAAAGTGATAAAGATGTCAATACTTCTACTACTACAACTACTAATACTACTACTACTACTACTACTACTATTTCTACTACTACTATTACCATACTACTATACTACTACTACTAACTTATACTACAACAAAGAATAATAATACTTGTAATAATAGGACTTCTACGACTACTACAACAACTACTACTAATAATAATAATGCTAATATAGCTACGACGACTACGACTTCTACTTCTACTAAAAATGATAATAGTAATAGTAATAATAACTATAATCACAATTATTCTAAAAACAACGACAATAATAACTTCCCTGATGATCCAAATGCTGGATTCTACTATCCTGTTATTAGCCAGTAATGATTATAGAGCAATTGTATCCACCATACAGTAACAAAGATACAAATGACAAGGTAAACACAACGGAAATTAACGGCAATGGGATATATATATACTAGAATATATCATGGAAAATAATTTCTGACTGAAACATGAAAGGATTTGAACAATACCCTTGTGTGACACCATACTGTTGTGCTGTCTTCATCTCCTCCGGTGTCATTATGAGTTCAGTACCATCTCTGAAACATACACAAGAAATATCACCATTAGGCAGTTAAACAATGAGATAACATGTACTGGTACTTTCTTCCTATTTTAAGCGTTATTTCTTTATTTTTATCTTCCAATTCAGTTTGTATAATTTCATGGGGTGCCAACAAAAAATGGAAGGAAAAATTGCAAATAATATACGGATCAGAGAATGGTGAGAATTCACGATCCATAAAAAAGGTGGGTTTTCAGTACATTACCGGTAGTTAAATGTGGTTTTGAATAGCTTTTTCTTTACACTTTTGACCAAAGATTCACAAAGTTATTTCCATTGTATTGAGTGCCAGCAATAACAGGCTACATCGAATGCATGTAATTAAACTGTAACAGGATTATTTTACCATTAACCTCAAACATACATGTAGCCTGCATACGAGAAGAAAAAAAAAAGAAAAAAACCCCAGAAGGAAAAACCAGTTGCAACTGGTCCAGTTAAACCAGTTAAAGCCAACTGGTAACCCTGGAAATTGAAATTGGCCAGTTGAACCAGACCAGTTGAATTCTAACTGGATCAGTTAGAATTCGACCAGTTGAAATCCAACTGGACCAGTTAGAATTCAACTGGTCAGATTCTAACTGGTCCAGTTGGAATTCAACTGGTCAGATTCTAACTGGTCCAGTTAGAATTCAACTGGCCCATTTCAATTTCCAGGGTTACCAGTTGGATTTAACTGGTCTTACTTGACCAATCAACTACCAATTGAAAACTTAATTAGTAATTAAAGGCATAAGTAGCACTTGTACTAATTAATTTTACCAATTGGTAACAACCCAGTATAACTATATCGTCTGCAATTTCCAATGTAAAGACATTGGTAATAGGTAGACTTGTTAACTAAAAATTTTGAATATACTTGTATTTTATTGAATCTATTTTAGTTCATAGTTAATGTTTTCCCTAATTCATGTTTATTTAAATGTTATTTACACGAAGTAATGAAATGTCCTAATAATTAGGTGATACGTAACGAAGTCAACGTATCACCTTTTGATTTCGTCAAGATTTTTATTATTATTTATTTATTATTATTCTTCCTCGAATTTGTTCGCAGGATATCTCAAGACTGAATAAAGCCATTGTTATGAATCTTTCAATGATGATAGATCTTAGTCTAACTTAGAACTGTGTGACTTTTCAAAGACTCAAAATCATCGTGACGTCATCCAGGCGCCATTTTGTGAAAATCAACTTATGATCATATCTTCATAACGGAAAGTAATTTTTCATTCATATTTATCATGATTAAGATCAATATCCGTCGGGTCAATTTGAGGTCAATAAATGCGCGCAAAAATGCGCGTACGCGTAGGCGCGCGCGTTAATGCGCGCGTAAAATTTTAAATTGCTCAAAATCGTCTTAAATTTTTTTTGCATACGTTTCAGGCCATTATAAGCATTTCATAAAAAATCACGCAAAACACGCATTTTTGCACGTTTTCGTTCGTCACGGCCGAACGAAAAATAATTTCTCCGCAAAAGCTTTTGACCGAATATTCCTCATATTTTTCCGGAAAATTTGATACCATGTTTAGCTCTTTATCACTATTAAAAACGGAATGAGCGTCCGTTCAAGATAACCGTCCGTACGCGCGATTTTTGTAATACATTGCATATATGGGCAAAAACATGCCTATGAAAAGTCCATTGGGATGAATAGGGATTGCCAATTTTTTTTTCATATTTAGATAGAGTATGAGTCGGAGGTATGATTTCATATCTCATTTGGCCATTAAGTACATCTTTACGTCATCATAATGGCCTTGGAAGTCAAAAATACAAAATTGCATATTATGACGTCATTGTATTTATGGAAAATGTAGTGTATTTCTCTCAATATTCATCGATTCTCTTTGAAATGTCGATATGTTGTAGATAAGGCAATTCTCTACAAGATCACTTTTCACTAAGTTTCATTTTAATGAGGTCATCATAGTACAAAATTCAGTTAAAGGCCACATGTCAGAATTTTCGTCATTTGCGTGTTATGTCTATGGAAGGTGAATTTCGTTCACATCATGAATCTACATGGCATTCATCTATGAGCACTATCTATCTTATGTGTGCTCTGTTTTCTCCCAAATTGGGGTATGTTATAGCTGAGACCATGGGCTATAAAAACGGTGCTTTTAGTTTTTTGATCAGATGATGGTATCATGTCACAATTTTCAATTGAAAGTCGAATTTGCAAATTCCGTAGAACTTTGCAGTAATTATGATGTCACGTATGTCCTATTTGTGAAATTTTAACGTTAGCAGTGTCCTAGTATTGAGTTTAATTGATGATGGTTTGATTGAGAATAAAAATAAAAGAACAACAATGCATTGCGGCATAAACGGATGAATTAGGAAATGTTTTACAAATTTAAAATACAATATATTCAAACATTCATATTAAATAACATCGAAATTAAAGAATTGAACCTGAATGAGTAAATTGTTAAAAACAATATTCAACTTCGAAATTTGTATTTCATTTTTGATCTTCCGAAATCATTTGATATAAAAAGGAGATACACAAAGTGAAGAAGAACATGATGATGTAAAGCAAAGAAAGAAAAGAAAAGTTGATGGTAAGATGGTAAGAGGATAGACAGAGGGTATAGTAACACTATCCTAAGGTATCGATATCAATATTCAAGCATTACACATCATACAAATTACAAATGATAGAGGCGAAGTTATTATGCGAATACTTATATGACAAATTGTACACATTTATATTTTCCTCTAGGTAATAGCTACTACAAGAAAAAGGTTATGTTTTATCCAAACTGTAAAAAAAGGGGAATTATTAGAAGAAGTAAAAGTAGAAGAAGAAAGAGGGAAAAGAGAATTGAGAAAAAAGGAGATGGGTGAGATGCCTTGCTGCCTTCCTCTTTATCTCTTGTTTTGTCTCGATCTGCCTCTCTATTTCTGTATAGTCTCCCCCTTTCTCTCTGCATCATCCCAGTGTCTCATTTATTAGTGTATTACATGTATACAAATCAAATCAAAGGAAATTTGAGGCAATTTCAATCGTTTAGCCATTCACTGCCATGCATACTAACAATCATTTCTAGAATTAACATCTTATAGATGTTGGTTTATGGATGGGTAAAATATAAATATCTTACTCATATTTTATATTGAATCAGGACTAAATAAATCACTGTGTTCATGTTTAATTGATAAAAAAAGGGCTTAAAAACTTTATTTGCATGTTATCTCAAGACTTGACAGATGGCACACGGAAGCATTCACATCCTTAGTGCGTTAAAACGTTATTCAAACGGTAGATCTTTCTTTCCAATACGGAACGGTCAATAAGCAGCATGAAACTTAATTAAGATATAGTCCTTATTAGTCATAATCAGCTCTATTGACGTCATTGTTGCGTATTTAGTGCGTCGAAATATCACTTCAATGATTGGTATAAGTATATCTCTGCAATGTTTAGTAATAGCAGGGCACTCTCCCTGGTAATAGTTAACAGTTATCATATATAACGATCCTCAATCGAAAACATGAAGGGGGCGCTGTGCCACTTTCAATCATGGTCATCATTTTAATATCGTCATCATCGTATTCATGAACATAATCGTTTTTTGATTATCGGCAACACTTTCATGACCAGTATTCAAAAGAGCTTATTTATGCTAGAAATATGGAAGGCATTGTTCTCAATTGCATCTCTCTCTCTCTCCTCTCTCTTGCTGTGTTTCCCTTCTCCCCTCATGTTCTGCCCCTCTCCTTTACTTGGTCTGTCTCTGCATCTCTCTCTCACTCTCTATCTCTCTTTCCCTCTCTACACTTTTATCCTCTCCCTCTCTCTCTCTCTCTCTCTCTCTCTTTGTCTTGCCTTGCCTTCTTCTTATTATATTGCTCTGTCTCCCTCTGTTCTACACAGTTGAAACTTGACTAATGGATATACCATAATGGAAGTAGTATTTAATAAAGAAAGATGAAATCGTGAAAATGCGTTCTTCATTATGTTACACACGTATCACCTAATTCGTCAAAGTGACGAATTAAAGTCTAGTTGGCAATTTGTATTTGTAGTATTTTCGAAATGAATTGCACATAACTAAATCAGCAGTAATTAAGTAATATGCTGTAAATCCAGATAAATTGTATTGAAACATAGATATGCACGCACCCCATATCCATTATGCAAATTAGCTGGTGTCAACTGGAAATATGCACACGGACCAGTTAGAATTTGACCAGTTGAATTCTAACTGGTCCAGTTGGAATTCAACTGGTCAAATTCTAACTGGTCCAGTTGGAATTCAACTGGTCAGATTTTTAACTGGTCCAGTTGGAATTCAACTGGTCAAATTCTAACTGGTCCAGTTGGAACTAACAGACCAGTTATCAACTGGAAATATGCCCACAGACCAGTTATTAACTGGTGCAACTGGAAATATGCCATGCACAGACCAGTTATCAACTGGTGCAACTGGAAGTATGCAAACAGACCAGTTATCAACTGGTGTAACTGGTCATTATAAGGACTGGTTCCAGTTAAATGAAATGCAGTCGCACCAAATATCCGCTTGATGTGCATCATGGACCAGTTAGAATCAACTGGAACCAGTTGAATCTAACTGGTTCCAGTTGAATCTAACTGGTTCCAGTTGAAGTTAACTGGAACCAGTTGGAAATTTCAACTGGTGGTAACTGGTTTTTCCTTCTGGGCCACAACATCCTTAATCCTTATATCATTGAAACAAATTTACTCCATTCCAAGCCTATGGAAGTGATTTAAATCACTGAATCTTTTAAAAATGTGGGCGCTATAAATCGCCATCTAAATTTCCATTTAAATCAAGGCCATTCAAATCGCGCCAGCCCTGAATTCAGTAATCAAAGTTTGGTGATTGAGATCAAATCAATTCAGAATCAGATCAAATAAAATAAAATCTAAAACATCCCATCCAATTCAAATCAAATTATGATATACAATCCAATCACATCACATTAAATCGAATTATAAAAATAAAACTAACTTGAGTGTAATGCTTGACTTCTCAAAGGGAAACATGTCCACGTTAGGTATACCTGGTGCAAGCGAGATCAGGGTGGGCGGCCCTGTCAACAGCACTTCAGCTACAAGTAAACAAATGTATAATCATAGGTATCATTAATAAGATGTTTGTCATCAACACGTTCTGTACTTCAACAGAAATCAAGTTTATTCTTGCTTTTATACATGTACCTTTGAAGAAATCAGAGAGGATTGCTATACATTTCATACCAATCTGCCATACTGTTAGATATATTTTTCATGAACATACAAATTATATGGGGTCTTTTTCAACACAAGCTGTATCAATAAAGTTTACTGGTCCCTACTCTCATGCACCTGTAGGTGAAAATATGTAGAAATTACCTTTAGGAAAATTCTCAATGATACATTTATAATTATTGCAATATGTTTTTTTAACAACTGTATGAAACAAACATATTCCGCCACCAGTAACTAAGAAAAATAAAGTTTATGAACTTTTCTGTACAAAGCATTTACATTGACTGAACTTACATGTATATTTGCAATTTAGGAGACTAAGTCCATCCAAGGTTATTGATTTTGTTGTGCTCAAACCATTTCGGACTCTGACCCCAGGATAAAGGAAATTGTATCGGGGCTCTGTTGACAGGTCAATTCTTTTCCCCTATTTTTGTTTTGCACAGTGATTTTATGTGGCAAATTTGTTTTGAAAAGAAAATGATAACAAAGGATCTCTTTTATTTTCTCGTTTGCATTTTTATGAGTTTGAAGATTACTTTGCTGCTAGTCTGTATTCCCCTCACCCCTTTTTTATATCTAAATTCATCCAAGGAGATATATAATTGAATGGGCCAAAAGATTCACCATTTATCTACAAAATGTTTACTTTGAGTAAACGTCCTTAACCAACAACCTCACATCTTTAGTACGTGGGGGAAAAAATCATTACTGAGCTTCTGAAATTCATTCAAAGCTTTGGAGATATCACTACAAAATATATACCACATTAATATCAAAATGAAGTTTCATGTGTATATCGATCCGCTGACAAGTTGTAAAGTCTAGGGAGCTATAATGACATGTATAGTCTATAGCATACCTGTATACATGTGTATGATATATATCATGTTCACGTTCACCGAATAACTAATGTATACGCGTAATCGTTTTTTTTTTTTTTGTTGTTTTAATGGCATTCTCGTGATATAAGCCCCTGCTCATTCACTTTGTGATAGCGGTTCATTCCGGAGCACTCTACTTCCTCTTAGACTTTACACGGAAGTGTGTGTGTGTATACACACTCAATGATCAGTGGCTTATTTCACGAGGAGGTCAACAAAATTTATCCTGGCTCTCCCACTCAATGTTATTAGGGTACGCGTATGGCGGGCGGTGACTTTGTCGCGCGAAAAAGTACCCCTTTACCGGAGATTTTGAGAACACGCATGCGGTCCCTCCGACCCCTGAGTGGGGGGCCGAAAAATTTACTTACTAAGTTGATGAATTGGAGACGGCTTGCGGGACTTAGCGACCTCATTGAAATATCGTTGGTAGTCCATTGTATTTGCTGTCGACGCTGAACGTCGATCGTGTATAGTCCCGCCCTTAATGCTTATGGCGTTCGGTGCTTGCATGCATTATGGTTGAAAAACAAGCGACATATAGTTCGCTGGTAAACAAAGGTATAAAGGTTATATTTGAAATATATTTGACTAAGGTCGTTCCATTATAGCGGCGGCAGTGGCGGATCCAGGTGGGGGGGGGGGGGGGCGGGGGCCCAAGCCTTCTCCCCTGGGAAAATAGGTAAAAATACGTTATTTTTTTTACCTTTGTTTGTAGACGGGCCCCCTCCCTTGGTTCTAAGGGGGTGGGGGGGGGGGGGGGGAGCGATTCAATTTTTTCAGAGGCAAAACAAAATTAAAAATTAATGCTCACTTCCCCCCGGGCCCTCCCCCCCCCCCCCCATTTTTCAAAATGGTACCTCTGCATGTGTGGCCATTCCTTGAACCATAACGCATTGCCTTTCAGAGGAATTTTTCTGTTTTGGACCGGGGGAAAATGCAATGCACTATTGATAATTTATTGTAATTTTTTTTTTTTTTTTTAAATCTTTGAGGGCGGCCCCGTCATGATTCAGTGGCTAAGCAATGGCCTCATTGCAATGGTCCCGGTATCAAAATCGTGTCGATCAGCTATATAGTGCCCTTTTGTGAGGCATTAATCCTCATTACTGTCAGTTATGACTTAAGGACGTATGTCCCCTAGTTGATAAGCATAGCACACACATGCTTTAGCAGTCACACAAAACAAACACTCGCAAATTATTATTCATTTTTTTCCCTTTTTTTTTTATCTGTGGGGGCGGCCCCGTCATGATTCAGTGGCTACAGTCATGATTCAGTGGCTAAGCAATGTCCTCATTGCAATGGCCCCGGTATCAAAATCGTGTCGATCAGCTATATAGTGCCCTTTTGTGAGGCATTAATCCTCATTACTGTCAGTTATGACTAAAGGACGTATGTCCCCTAGTTGATAAGCATAGCACACACATGCTTTAGCAGTCACACAAAACAAACACTCGCAAATTATTATTCAATAAAATCTGAGAATGTATACTATTATGTCGATCTATTAAGAATAAATCATTGTCAAAATCATTCTATAAATTGGGGTAAAAATAATTATTCCACCTTAATGACCAACAGTGTATTATGTGTTCTCAGAGTCAAATCAGGATATAGGTCAAATAATACAAGACCTGTTCCAAGTGATAGACATACTATGCCGTCTTAAACATGTTCATAGTGCATGGTACGGTTCAGAACTTTCACCCTACCCCCTCACCCTTCATTGAAATGCCCCCCCCCCCCCGTCAAAAGCAATTTGTTGATGGGGCAGTATATGTTGCGAAGGACATGATGTGTGTTCAGAAATGACGCAGGCTATCTGTCAATTAATACATAAAATGAAATCTGGATCCAGGACATAGTCATGATTTTCAGTCCGAATCATGACAATAATGGGCGAGTGGGAAATACTATTCAGTTCAGTTCAGATTAATATTCTACTTTCTCATATTACATATTATAATAAAACATAAACAAAACAAATCAGTGCATTACCAATATCGGTACAATAAAAATATTGCAATTATTTAATGAGGTACATACTTCTTTAGTGAACATTAATACTTTGCATCATTATCAAAGATTTGTATAAACTATAATCATTCTTATTACATCTTAATTTGAGAAAGAGTGGAGGAACCTGTAAAAAAAAAAAGCAGAGCTTGTGAAGCTATATAGGTCCTCTTTTAGAAAAAAATCTAACTAGTATTCAACAATGAAAAAGGGGGGAAATAACGAGTTTAGTGCAAGGACATCAAGGTAAAATTAAAGGGAATAATTATGATAGACAAGGAAGAAGGAGAAGGTGGGGGAGAGAAAGACAGAGAGAGAGCGAGCTTTAGAGGGGGGAGAAAGAGAGTACGATTTACAAGAAAGAAGAAGGAGAAACAATTAGTGCAAGAACAGGATTTACAAGGGGGGGGGGTTTAACATTTATAAATCGGTCCGAAAATTTCGCAACGACTCAGCTGACTGCTGAATAAGGGGGGGGGGGGGGGGGGGGTAAGAGGACACTTTTTTTTCTCGAAATTTGGAAATTTGACATTTTGCTCAGTTGGGGGGGGGGGGGGGGGGGGATAAGGTCACCTTTTTTAGGTCGGCCGTGGGAATAATTTGTTTTTTTAAATTTATTAAAAAAAACAAAAAACAAAAACCAAAGGGGGGGGGGGTTAGGTTTTTTTTAGGGGGGTTTACATACATAAAATTACCAAAGGGGGGGGGTTAACCCCCTAAACACCCCCCCCCCCCCCCTCCTGCGTACGCGCCTGGGTGGGCCTAAAATTCTTACAACCCCCTCTCCGTCGCTTCCTTTGCTGAGGTAATAGGGACGTACATGGCGATAGATCATCATCATCCCCTTCATGCATGGCAACGCTGCTACACCACTTATCCCCATATAGCTCCGTTTAGTCTCATTTGACAATGCCCCCTATCGTCAGAGTCAGCAGCCTAACATATTAGCCTATGGAATTTTACAACAACAAAAAAAAAAAAATCGTTAAAAATTCATTTTAAACGAAAAGCACATCCACCCCGACATACGTTATCACTAGCTCTTTCATTGGAACCCTCATGTCTCATTGACTTTTGAAAGTTCACCCACCGTATATTCATCAAAATAGTTTTTTTTTGTTTGGGGGGGGGGGGAGGAGGGGTTAACCCCCTTTTTTTTGCTCAACATCACAGTGCGCAATCTTCAAGGCCTTTGAAGCAGCACTTTTTTTAATATTACCCATCCTTTGACAATACCCCTCCCCCGGAAGAGAATTACCCCCGAAAAAAATATGCTTTTATTGAACAAACTTTTTATCAGTTGTAAGCAGGCGCGTACGCAGGTAGGCGGGGGGGGGGGGGGGAAGGTCGAACCCCCCTCAATTTTTTTTAAATTAATGTGCTCTTACCCCCCCCCCCCCCCCCCCCCCCCCCCCGCTTATTCAGCGGCTGGCTGAGTCGTTGCGAAATTTGTCATCAAATCCTGGAACAACAAAAAAAAAAAAAAAATGTGCACTTACCCCTCCCCCCCCCCCACCCCCCCAACCCCACTGCGCCTGGTTGCTTATATTATGGTGACTTCCCCTTTCATGAACGGGGGGGGGGGGGGGGTTGTGCTTAATTGGGGGTAATTTTTCAGGGTGTGATTCTCCAGGGGATAATACTAGTTCTGAGATATTGTACTAGCTAGCTGTACGTGTATATGCGCTATCGCTCTGCGCACTCAGTTAAACCATGCAGCCATGAACAGAAAGCGGGAGGAGTTTCTCGTTTCTTATCCAGACTGTTGATAAATGGTAAGATTATTATTCAATTGTTTTAATAAGTCTATTCCTTTTTTATTAGATTTTGTTTGTGGGGCTTTGGAAAATTTAATACAGGTGCAGCGAGTGAAACGCGGGGATATTGAGCATCCAATCCATGGCCATGCATGATTGATATAGCCCGCGACAGAGGTAGAGAGTCACAGTTCAACGGGCTCTTGGTACTGGGGCGCGGCTAGGGCGAGCGGTAGAGTTCGGGTGGAAGACTGCTCGTTGGCATTGCATTGGCCTAGGCTTGGCCCATGTACACTATAGGCCTTAGTTACCGGTAGAGGTAGTGTATCCCTTTGCACTTTGCAGCCAACATCAAATTCTGTAGAACTTTGAAGGAATTATGAATATGACAAGTGTGCCATATTACATTAGTGAGTATCTGTGAAACTTAAACGTTAGCAGTCGCCTAGTATTCAAATTATGCAAGGAAGCCGTTTACTTTCTACTCTACTAGACTTCATTCACTGTCATCACTGACAGTGAAGTGACAGTGAGTGAAGTGTCAGACACTAGGGCCTTTTCGTTTGTGTGGACGAGGATACTGTTCCTGTCCTGTAACGATGCAAATTGGCTGCAATCAACCCGTCCTGTTCACTACTTTATAGCCCTTTTCGCTTGTAGTCGACAACCGTTCTCTATAAGATAATGGCCCCACTGCGCTTATTCAATTTCTCTTTCTTTCAGTTCCTATGTTATTGTTCGTTTATTATTCTATCATTTTTTTCTATCTTTTGTCATATTATTCTTTGTTTTCCTTTTATCATTTTATCTTCCTGTTTTTCTTATGTTATTCTTTGTTTTTCCATCTTTCATCTTCTCTTTTATCTTTCCATTGTCTATTCTTTATCATTTTCTCTTTCTATCTTCCCTCAAGTTGTTCTTCGTTTCTTCTATCACATTTTCTCATGTAATTCTTTGGTTTTATCGTTCTATCATTTTCTTCCTACTATTCCTTATTTTATTCTTTGTTTTTCCATCTTTCATCTTCTCTTCTATCTTTTCGTTATCTAATCTTTATCATTTTCTCTTTCTGTCTTTCCTTATTTTATTCTTTGTTTCTTATCCTTCTATCACCTTCTCTTATGTTATTCTTTTAATTCTTCTATTGATTTCCTCTTTGTATCTTTCCCTACGCTATCCTTTGTTTTTTCCTTCTATCATCTTCTCTTTCCTTATGTTATTCTTTGTTTCTTCCTTCTATCACCTCCTCTTACGTTATTATTTGTTTTTATCATTCTATTACTTTCTCTTTCTGTCTTTCCTTTATGAGTTATGCGTTGCAAATTGCTGAAATGACGTCACATCTTTGACGTGGTCTATGTGGACGTGACAAACGAAAAGGACCTAATACTGACTACTTTTTTTTCTTTGGTAATAAAATGCATAATAAGAGCTGTAAAAGGTACATGAGAATTTGAACGCATTAATAGCCTATTTCTTATAATGGCTAAAATTAAGCTGATTGAATCTTTGCAAAGCACAAAACGTACTTCAATATGGTACGATACAAGGGTCTGAAAGTCAGACTATTTTCTATGCCTAATTTTCAAAATGCTTACGGTTGAAATAATTTAACATAAAGTCAATTACCAGTTCTAATCTTTTCAGGGGAGTTTTGAGTTGGTGTTATCTCTTGTTTACCATAGGATTCACACAAGTTTACAAATTATATTTTCAGCCTGTAAAAGGGACACCCCACCTTTAAGAGCTAGGTGATAAATGTAACACGAAATATGATATTGATATACCTAGCCTGAATTGACACTCTACTTTCTATTTCTACAAAGCACTTTGAAATCGGTCAAGAATTCATCCCAAAAATGAGAAAATTTGATACCATACCAGAGCTAGAGAGTTTGTGATGTGAACACTTAAATAATTGTTTTAAAGGGAGGCTTTACTACTTCAGCCAGAAGGGATTGGCCATCCAGTGAGCCAGCGAGGTCACTGTGACAGGTGGCTATCTCATTAACTCAGCTCTCATCTAACAGAGGAAAAAGAGGATCATGGGGGACCAACAGGCACCAATTTGGAAAGTTTTCTATATAGAGGGAGCAACTAGCTACAAGTAGGACAGTGTGCCTTTAATATTGCCAGTTTGATACCTACTTTAGGATAGTAGAGATTGCCTAGTGTACTACGGCACATGCACTAAGTTAGCTAAATTTAGTGAACTTCCTGCATGTACCTTATTCTTGTTCTTCTTCTTGTTCTTCTTGTTCTTGTTCTTTTTCTTCTTCCTCTTCTTTTTCTCCTTCTTCCCACCTTCTTCCCACCTTTATTTGTTATCTTCATGGTTCAGATTTGTCAGCTAGTCTTATTGATATATCACATTAATCTTGTGTTTCTCTTGGTTTTTTTTACACTGTACCCTTATCTAGCTAAAGGGCATGATTGAGGTGGAATGGGATGGAATCTTCATCGGCATCTGAAGGAGCTAGCCCTGATGTCCGTCCTGTTATCTGTGAAAGTTTACAAGATCTGACTGACTGGGGGACCTACTGGGTAAGACTCAAAATCAAGCTCATATGTCTTGTCATTTTGTATTGATTATTATTTGTTAGTTTTTGGTAAACTGAAAAGAGAGCTCTAGTGAAATTTAAAAAATAGAACAAATATTGCTCTAAGAAAATTTCACTTTTACGTTATAAAAAAAGAAAAAAGAAGAAGAATCAGAAAGAAGAATACAAATTCTGTTACAAAGTTACCAAAGCCTTTTCTTCTAAAAAAACGGTTAAAAAAAAACTTTTTTAAAAAGCTGACCGTAGATTTCAAGATTTTAAGGTTGGTCGCAAAGGGCAATATAACATCTCTTTTTTTTAGGCCTGATCGTAAGTTTGGCTATCTAATTGCCATCCTGATGCTATTATACCCCGATGCCAGCTTGCCTGTGTTGTAATCCTGCCTAAGGCTCGGCATACACTACACGATCAAACTGCAATCCGGTTGTGGAAAAAATTGCCACAGCATTTTACATGAACATTCAAACTTGTAAATTCTTAATGATGGAGGATCTGAATAGTCATGGGATTAATGAAATTAAAAAAATTTGGCCTAAGGGATTGCAAGTTTCCATGAAGGAGGAAAAGCAAAATCGGCTCAGAATTGTAGTGACGTCGGATCAGTCATACGATTGTTTACTATTTCATGCCGATTCAGCATTTATTCTGACTAGAAAGCTTAGAGGCACCAACATTTTGGTTGACAGTATTCCTATCATTATTTACAACCTAAATCAGCAAAGCGTCCATCGTTTAGATTTCCATATCTAATACTATTGTCATTTCTTCAAGAATCGGATCGTAGTCAGATCGTGTAGTGAGTGCTGGGTTTAAAAGATCATGTATTTAGATTGTACATGTACTTGTATGTACCTATCATTAGCATACTGTGCATAAATACAGCAGACCTCATTCAGACTCGAGACAGTAATCTGCATAAAAACAATCCCTGGGGCTTAATCTATGCAAGATTTTTGAAAGAGGAGCATGCTTCTTTATCTATAACGCAGAGATATACATGGTATGAGTAGGCTACACATTCTGTAGGTTGTTTTTCCCCCCTTGCTTCCCTTCCCTCCCCCCCCCCCCCAGTCCGGGGTCGGAGGGACTGCATGCGTGTTCCCAAAATGTCCGGTAAAGGGTTACTTTTCATTTTTATTGCACCAAAGTCCAGCTTGTAGTACACAAAAATCCGGCCTTTATTGACTTTTCACACCGGACTTAGGGGGATGTTTTCAAAAGGAGGGAATATGCATATGCGTACCCTAAATAACACTGAGTGGGGGGGGGGGGGGGCTACCCTTCCTCTTCGTTTTCTGGCAAAGCTTTGCAGCTGCACTTTTTGAAATGGGTTAGTACTGCGCCGTGTCTTACTTGGCTTACGTGCAGGTACAAAAAGTGTCATTTGGATAGCGAAAGGGCAAGGGAACATTGGATTTATCCTGGCAGCCTAGAGCACTTTGATCTAACGTACGAGGCACTGATATATGAGTATTGGAACAAAGTGTATCCAAATATTGACGTCCATATTTGTGTAAATAAACTATTACTAGGTACCTCCCTGAATGTTCCAATACTCGGATAGTGGTACCTCGTTAGTTTGATCAGGGAACATTGGATTTATCCTGGCAGCCTAGAGCACTTTGATCTAACCAAGAATTATCAAACGTACCAGGCACCGATATATGAGTATTGGAACAAAGTGTATCCAAATATTGACGTCCATATTTGTGTAAATAAACTATTACTAGGTACCTCCCTGAATGTTCCAATACTCGGATAGTGGTATCTTTTTCATTTGATCAAAGTGCACTATAGGCTGCTGAGCTAATTTGGTTTCATGCTCCAAACATTGACATGTACCTTGACCTCGTAGAACAACAACTACACAGATGACGAATTGCGTTCGTTCATGCATTTCATGCATTTCAATCCCATTCATATAAATTCATGCATGTCCAACTGTAAATGTCTACCAACGTTAAACTTTCAGTTAGGACAGGTACAAATTCATTAATTCACTTTATTCTTGCAGTTGATAACTATGTAGGTCCACTGCAGCCTTAGGAATCATCATGCTGTATGGTTGCCGATGGGTCTTGTGCTTATATAGTTGTCAATTTTGAAAAATAGACCTCATTTATTTCTAGATCGACTTTGATTTCTGCCGGTAGGCAGTATGGTATAGCCCTTGACCTCGCCTTGTTCTTGTTTATAATAACAATCAACAGGATCATCATTTTAACGTTAACATTTTATGAAAGAAACTTGGACTATGTTTAGATCCAAGTATGATCTTGATTGAAATCTAGATGTAGATTTAGTCTACATGATAGATCTAGGGTAGATGTAGACCTAGTCTCTACTGCAGCCTTTTTAGTATTGTACAAGACTAGTCCTAGATCTGGACCTATAATCTAGATCTAGACTACTGTATTTTTGTCAGATATAAATTAATAATAGTTAGGTCTACATGTAGTCTACACATAACACTAACAAGTTTGATTCTAGACTAGATGTAGAATTTTATATATGGTAGTAGGTACCGGTAGGTGTATCAAGCTCCATATTATTATTTTTCTTGGTTTCATTTTTTCTTTTGACAGACTCAGAGATAGAGTGGACCTCGAGTCGTATTCACCAAATAGACCTTTAGTCCAAGAGTTCTCTCCCGCCATGTCTCCATCATCTTGAACTTGGTTCTCATAGTTGTACAGCTAGATCCTACTGTGCTAAGCAGCCTTGCGACATGATCTTCTTAGCAAAATTTGAACACAAGCATAAAATCAAAGGTTAGTTTGTTTGTTTTCCTTGTGGACCTAAATATTAATAAATTACTAATTTGTCGTTAAGCGTGTAATCTTGATTTTCATATATGATTAAAGGGTTAAGGTCCTGGATTTTATTACATATATAAAGTAATAAACGGCTGTGGGTATATATGTACTGCTAATTCATTCAATCTGGACTTTCATCCTTAAATTATTGTCTATCTCTTCAAGTTGATAAGATTAATACTATCGGTTAACATAATTGATCTTATCAGTATATTCTGTGCCTGTCATTATTGCCATACCCCTACAGCTGTCATTAAAAAAGAAAAGACATAAGTCGGGACAATTTTTCATAATCCTTGTAAGAAGTCTAATACACATCTTACTAATTCTGTGGTATATAACATACAAAAAATGATTATGAAAGGACTTTTTTCTCCAAGGCAAACAAATGAATTATTTATAATCTCTTGTAACTAAGCCTGCTTATGTCTCAATGCCTCCGTTACGAAGTTGCTGGAGGCATTATGTTTTCGGGTTGTCCGTCCGTCCGTCCGTACGTCCAGTTCTCGTGATCGCGTTATCTCAAGAACCGGCTGATGGATTCCTGCCAAAAAATTTTCCTTTCATGACTTTTTTCTTGTGAGTCTTACGCATCTTTTAAAACAATTTTTCCAAAATCGGACGTATCGAAGTTACAAAGTCACGTGACCTTTTGTCTTCGCATGTCAGCCCGAAAGTTGCTCATTTGTGAACAAAACATATGGAAATGTCATTTTTCCTAAAAAGAGATAAAACAGTGGTTATTTAGTCTTGTTTAAAGTTTAGGTGTTTGTTTTGGGGTCAAAATAGTCGAATTGTAGTTATAAATGAAATAAAACAACAAAAACAACGAAAACAATAAAATACATAAGTTAAAAAACAATGAAATACATAAGAAATTATCAAAACAAGAGATAACATAAGGAATAACCTGGCTCTTCCAATTTTTTGTGTTGTATTATTATTCCAAATGGTCTAACAAATATATGTAGTAAAAAAGAATGCTTAAATATGAATAATGTATGATTTATGGGCAAAAATGTGAATTTGATGACCTTATTTGCATAAATAACCATAAATATGCAAATGAGTAAATTTTTCAAAAAATTGAAATTACCATAGTTTTCTATACACTTCACTTGACATGTATGCAAATTTTCGCGACGATCGGCAGTGAAACGGCCGAGATCTTGGGGGGGGGGGGGGGGGGTCAAATTTTCCGCACTTTGAGTGCTAATCGTACCGCCCCCCTAAAATAAAATCCTGGCTACGCACTTGAAGGAGACAAGGTTAGGCAAATCGTAGGGAGAAAAGAGTAGTGCGAAAACAAAACAAAGAAAGAGATATTATTTTTCACAAATTATTGTTTTTCATTGGATTATTTTACAGGAGAAATTCCAAAAAAACAGTGCTGCAAATCTTCCACACAAAACTCTACTGCTGGTCTCCAGCGTCATTCCTAGTGTGATCCACACAAGTAAGAACATTGCTTAATCCAGCTGCTGGAATAACAAAACAAAAAGATTTATGTAGTTAATTTGATTACCGGTACATTATGAAAATGGCCTATTAGTATGATCTGTGCTGACTCATAGTCAGCCGGCCACACTCCAGTGTCACTGTCGTTGATTCCATTCCTGTGCCACTTTTTGCCACCGAGGGGCCGACGGGCCCTGACTGCTCTCCCGGGATCTCTATTGTGCAGTACATGATAATGCTGTGAAAGAATCCTGGGTGTACCCTGATTGTCGACTACAAAATATCGCAAACACATTGTTTTCTGCCCAAATACAGCGTTTCTTGAATATGAACCCTGCGAGGCACAGCTGCTTGGCTGGTCCCAGCCATTCTTCCCAAGGGCGGGTTTCGGGAGGCAGGGGCAAAAAAGTTTATGGAGTTGAAAACTCCCTAAATTTTTCCCTACTATTAAATATAAATGTAGTGAATTGAAACCCTCAAGGATCTTCATTCAATCTGTTTTATGTACGCAATGTAGATAGTTCTGAATATTGTTTTCATGTCTTGTTGCCCATGTTATCACCTTTTTCCAGGAAACTACACGTCTGTCAAGTGAAAGGAACATCTTACACCATGGGTGGATTCTGCCTTCTCTACCTGCTCCTGATCTTCTTGATGAGATCTGGTGATGTTGAAACCAATCCAGGTCCTAACACTGCAGAAAGGTATGCATATACTGGCTTACTTGGAATCATCGGGTCATCGCGCCCGGTTGAGTGGTTGTGTTACACAACCTTGCATGAAACCAAAGATCATGTAAAGATGCACGTTCAGGATGTGATCTTTAGTAGATTTGCTGTAGGGTTTTCACAAAGTGTCTGGTAAACTGGACCAGAGGGCATGTTTTCACATAAGACCGGGTAAGCTGCCCACCATACAGGATGCGATGACCCAATGACTCAAAGTAAGCCCATATACTAGTAACCTTTGAGGTTTAACAATAACGTTTAATTCTGATCTCGCATATAGGTGTAACTGTATACCGTTTGGTTTTGGAATCACAAAATTATGTTTTGCCCAGTCTTGTTATAAGTCACATGCACTGGATAAAGAAATGTGTATATGGAACTACACAACCATGTGGCATGAAAGTATGTTCCACAACAAATTATTTGTCATATTTTGAATATGAGGGTATTTGAAGAGCCATCTTTTTCAAGGAACAATTTTTCTATGATACTCTTCCACACTAACAAAGACAAACTGAAAATGCTCACACATTACATAAACCTTTCCCAGAACTCAACCTTCTCTTTATATGTGACACTGTAAGTTATCATGTGTATACAAAATATGCTTTTAGACTATGCATGATACAAACAGGCGCGAACGCAGGATTTTTTCAAGGGGGGGGGGGGGTTTAACATTTATAAATCGGGCCCAAAATTTCGCAAAGCGGGAGGGGGGGGGGTATTGGTATAATTTTTTTTTTTAATAAAAAACAAAACAAAAACAAAAACAAAAAACAATTACCAAAGGGCGGGGTTCAACCACCACCCCCCCCCCCTGCATATGCGCCTGGATACAGATAATAATCATGAGGAAGGTAATAATGATAATAATAATAATAATAATAATAATAATGATAATGATAAGCTAATGATAATAATAATAATATTAATAATTATAATTATAATAATAATAATAATAATAATAATAATAATAGTAGTAGGAGTAGTAGTAGCAGTAGAAGTGGTAGTATAGTAGTATATTAGTGCAGTCAAACCTGCTTTCGTGACCACCTTTATAGAAAGACCATAGGTCTGCCTATAATGACCACATTTTTTGTTTCCCTGGAATTTGGTTTCGCATTGAAATCTGTACATCTACCAAAAGAATCTGTACATAGTGACCACCCTATCATACCCAATTGATTTATTATTCATTTTACAGTTCTGTCAGTGAAATGGAGTTCCTGAAGCTGGCCCAGGATATCGATCCATCTTTCTACTACAATGTAGGGATATCTCTAGGGTTCTCCCATGCTCATCTAAAGGCAAACCTGATTGAGAATGTGAAGAACTTCAAAGATGCCTTTATGGATGTCTTTATGAAATGGAATGTCAAGCAGCAACCTCCACACTCAAACAAACGACAGCTTTTGGCAGACAAACTACGACAGATTGACTTGGGTGGCCTATCAGACGGATTACTGAATGGACCTCCAATTCCAAACAGCACAGGTAAACAGATACTAATTCTTGCACCACCTGAAGACTGACATAGAAACCATGCATAAAAGTGAAGTCGTTTTTTACTGTTGAGATAGTGAGTGCTCTGTGTTCTAGAAACATTTGCCACAGATTACATAAATGTTATATACATGCACATGTACTACAAACAGATTATATTCTTTTGCTTAATTCCATAATGATAATTGTAATTATGCATCCGCCCACATAACAAAATATGTTTTGAGGTTGTATGTTCATCCATTCTGCTTTTTTGCTTTTGCAATATCTCAAGAACCACTTGAGGTATGAACTTCAAACTTGCATCACCATAGGAAGATAATCTTGATTAGATTTGAGTGTAAGTGGGTGATACTGATAGACATATTACAGGTTTCAGCCTCACGATATATCAAGAACCACGTGAGCTATGAACTACAAACTTGGTGTTAGCGTGCAGCACCAAAGTGAAATGAAGTTACAATATTTTGGGATAAGTAGGCCAAACGCTAAGGGCCATGATCGAGGGTCACTTGTAATACATTTAAAGGGTTTTAGCCCCATTATTGCAATGTCTCAAGAATGGTTTGAGCCATGAATTTCAAATTTGGTGTTTGTATGCATCCCCAATCAACATAAAGAGACAAACTGACATATTTTGGGTTAAGAAGGTCAAAAGTCAGCAAAATGACACAATTATCATAATATCAATAACCTCTATAAAGCTATTTGTGCTGGATTTTTTTTAAAAACTGCACATGCTATGCATCACCTTAGGGCGACAAGTGATCAGATGTTTGATTGTCAGGTCAAAGTTCATAAAGAAAGATCAATCAACATGTATTTATATATACATATATATTGGTTTTTTGTTCTCATGATATTTAAAGATTGATTCGAGCCCTGATCTTAACTTAATTTAGGCAGAGGCATACTGGAGATGCAATCATATTTGTATTGGTTTTTTCATCAAAATATGATGTGTGGTTGTCAGGGAAACTCTGCTTTGCTGAAATGTCCTAAGAAAAATCATTCCAGTGATAATCATCTACTAGTACCTATAAACACAAATTACTTATATTTTAAATGCCCTTAAAATTGAATTAAGTTTTATAAATTAAGACAAACAAGTAGGACTCTTTGAGTACATGCACCTACATAGTGGTACATTGTAGGTCACACTAGTATAGACTTAGGCCTTTCCAACCCTTTCAGATGTATCTTGTAAAGATCAAACTATGTTTATTTATAACATGTGAATATGGATTATCTATGTGTTTTTAGGAGGGCCATCAAGACTGCTCGAATCTCAGACCAAACCACTTTCTCCTGAACTGGTTGAGCGGTGTGCAAATGATTTCAAGTTCAAGTACAGGTCAACTCTCTGTAAGATAAGAGCTGATCCTCTCAATCCTGCTTCCACTGTGCAGTTTAAAGACATGTATACTAATCTCGTCTTACAAGAAGAGCATGGGACAAAGAAGCGATTGCTAGATTACAATGATATCCTTAAACTCGAAGTCAATGGAGAGTTCCCTAAGCGGATCATGGTTCAAGGAGAGGCAGGGGCTGGAAAAACCACATTTTGTGCTAAGATTGCCTGGGACTGGGTTGAAGGGGGGCATTTTAGTCGCTTTGTGTGGGTCTTGATTGTTCCTCTTCATGACTTTAAGCAACACACTATTGGCGAGATTGCAAAGTCTTATCTGTCCAAAAACAATCCAGCAACGGTTTCTCAGATTACTGAGTATATCCAGTCAAATCCTGACAAGGTATTCATTGGATTCGATGGGCTAGACGAAGTCAGTGGCAAAATCATGAAGACAAGATCCTGCGATCAAAGTCAAGACTCTTCAGAGGTATGTGGAAGCTCATCTGAGACTGGTGATATTGGACTTGAAGATATTCTTTGTTCAGATGAACTAGCCTCTTGCCCAGTCTTGGTCACCACTCGCCCATGGAGAGCACTAGAGATTAGATCAGATGGTGACCTAATGAAGCTCTACACATTCATTCATGTGGAGGGTTTCAACAGAGAGAATTTGGAAGATTACATTCACAAATACTTTCCAGAGGATGATGATAAAGCAAATCAGCTTATCCAGTTCACCAGTGAGAATGATGTCATATCTGAAAACATGGCCCACTATCCAATATATGTAGCCATGTTGTGTCTTATGTGGAAAAGACGTGACAAGCAAAAACTAAAGGAAATGAAATCACTGAAAACTTTCTCTCAGATATTCAAGGAAATGATTGCGTTTCTAAAAGAACATTATGTTCAGAAAGAGGTGAAGAAAGTAGGCAGCCCCTCACTTATTGCCTATTTGAAAAAAGTTGATGAGCTCCTTGGACCGATTGCCAAACAGGCCCTCAATGGTTTGCTAGAAAATACATTGGTGTTTGGTGAAGCTGATTTCAAAATATGCCCAGAATCCAAGGAGACTGCCTGTCGGGTTGGGATTTTGTCTCAGGAGGACAGAATAACTGCTGACATGCACATGAGAAGAATTCTCATGTGCAATTGCCAGTCTTCTTCCCTCACAAGCTGTTTCAGGAGTACATGGCTGGAGTCCATCTTGCTTTCCTGTATGAATCAGATCATGATGAATTCAAGAGGCTTATTGAGCAAGTAGTGCTGCCAAGAAAGGAGGAGTTTAGGTATCTCCTGTACTTCACTGTGTCACAAAACAAAAGTGTTGCAACCCATGTAATGAAGTCTATGCTACTGGGAATAAACATGCATAGAGATTTCATTGTTGATGTAGCCTTTGAGTGTCCTGACCCAGATGTAGCAGCCTTGGTGAAGGACAGAGTTTCATCAGAGGAGATCATGCTGAACATATCCAGAGACACAACAGCGCACAATGTAGCTGGTTATGTTTTCATTGGACTACATGTGGTAAGTTTGATCATACAGTGTGAGTCAAAAAGAAGTTTACACCTAGAAAATTGCTAATTATTTTAAAAATCATCTATGAACAGTAAATTATTATACATTTTATGAAAGAGTGTTCTATCCCAAATCATTTGGTATCATTTTTGTATGGTATGTATTCACGCTTGGATGAACAGGAGGCATTGTTTGCAAGGGTGTAAAAATCGACTTGCGCCAAGTTACTTACCGGTATGTGATGTTTCAATAAAACAATTGGGATTTGGGTATTAATTCGGTCTTTGCAGATCCAAATAATATCCCTAACAAAATTAATCATGCCACACATATCAAATATCAACGAACATTTGTGCGCGTGGGTGTGTGTGTGTGTGTGACTTTGCTTCTGCAAAAAGCATATGCAATGCATTTCATTTGATACATTCAATTCATTCTCTTACTCCGCTAATCCCAACATAATACATACTGTAGGCATCACTTTGGCACAAGTCGATTTTTGCACTCTCGCAAACAATGCCTGCTGTTCATCCAAGCGTGAACGAATTCCACACAAAAATTATACCAAATGATTTGGGATAAAACACTCTTTCATAAGATGTATAATAGTATACTTTTCATAGATGACTTTAAAAATAATAAGCAGTTTTCTAGATGTAAACTTTTTTTTGACTCGCACGGTAGTTTGATAAACAAAATTAGTTCATCCATTTTTGTACAAGCTCTTACTTTTACATCTTTTGCAATTTTCTTTTTACGGTATAATTATGGAAGGGCGGTCTCGACTAGCACTTGTGCTATTAACTGGCCCCTTTTACCAACCAATAGTTTCTCTTCTTGTATATATATATGTTAATACCGTTGTATGAAATGTACTGCTGTTGGTAAATAAATCAAATCAAAGAGGTTTGAACAGTAATAATTTCTTTGAGCAGATAAATAAAGCAATGAGATGATCCTATATACACGACACGCAGCAAGATAAACATCGTTTCGCACTATGGTTTCCCATATACTTTGGCCTACATGGCCATGCATGCTTACATACCAATATGTGACGCATGTACTATTATACATTGTAATGCTTGTAATAATTTGGAAACTAGAACTGCAATCGTACAACAATATGCATGCATTGATGCCTGTATGTCTATTTATTTGAGCAGATAAATAAAGCAATTAGATGATCCTATATACACGACACGCAACAAGATAAACATCGTTTCGCACTTATGGTTTTCCATATACTTCGGCCTTCATGGCTGTGCATGCTAACATATTAATATTTGACGCATGTAGTATACATTGAATGGCATCTAAATCGTCCCACTTGATGGATTTACACAATTCTTCAAGAAGCCGGTGGTTGGCCACCCAGACTAAATTGCGGATACAAAAGTGTACTCAACTTTGGTAGCTCCTAATAAATAGTCATAACCAATATGACTATGAAATCTATTTCATGATGAAGAGTAACTTGTTTTGTCCCATGATACCCTATTTATAATATTTCTGCCATGGGTGACTGAGCACCATGGTCTTTAGAAAGTGTTGTCAAAATTGCCTTGTATCAAGTTTGGGCTGATGGAACAAATGTGGATTAGGCCAAGTGCATGTGCTTCTTTGGTCTTAAATCCTTTTTAAAAGTTCAATCATGCCTTTTGCGTCAGTGCTTCATTGTCTAAAATGCTGTAATATATCTAGGCTTTCACATAACCTTGTCTGAATCAATAGGATAACCTTGAATTATTTTGAACAGCCTACTAACTTCTTGTCTCATGATATCTAAGTTCTTTCTGCTCACTTGTCCGCTGCGCTATTCACACGCATAAGGTAACATAAGGTGTTTATTTTGAAGAGTGAATGAAAACTCATATGTTATTTAACCAAAGTACGAGAAAGAACACATTTGATGATAAGTATCAAAGAAATTGACAGTAGACTTTCATAAAAAGATGACATCTAAACATTATCCATTTTGTATCACTCGATGAGAAGGGTTACCTTAAACAAGGGGTGTGAATGAAGTCAAGATTGTAATCATAACAAAGATAATACCATGAATTTTACTTGTAATAAGCATTTCCTTGAGTTTGAGTTGATATATTAAGCCTATCTGCACTAGTTTGGCCAGGAGGGATTAGCCCTCCCTGCATGGACACTTGCAGGTGGTCATCTCATCGATTCAGCTCTCAATAAACTTAAGAAAAAGTGGATCATGGGCGATCAACGGGTATTGCTTAGGCTTTGTTGGCTGTATAGAGGGCGCAAGTAGCTGGAAGTAGTGCCTTCTTTTTTTAACTGCCAAATAGTTGATGTAAATAAGTGAATTGTTTTGGGAATGAGATTACACATACACACATGTAGATGCTGCTGGCGTTGACATATCTTCAGAAGTTGTTCGTAACCTCCGCGTCACTGTTGATAATGTACTGAATATGAAAAACATATCAGGAATACTTGTCGGAAGGCATCTCCAGAATTAGTAAACTTCAAAAAGTGTACAGAGCGATTGATCCATGCTTTTGTAACTTCTCATTTAGATTATTGTAAACGGATTGTACTTTGGCTTACCAAATTCCACCATTTCACCATAGTTTTAACGAATCAGAACGCAGGAAACTATACAACTATACAACTTTGACTATACAATTTTGTATGAAATGTTGTGGCAATAGTTCTTCAGCCTGTAACCTCATAATCTCCTGAGTCCCTCTTACTCTCTGTAGTTCAAGCAGCACATCTAGGACAAACGCTCATTAAGCTTACACATTTATGTATATACCTAACATCCAAGTGAACATCCATTTTCTGTATCACATCAGTAATCCCTTTGTCATTTTATCCAGGTTAAGCTCCATATTGATAAAGATTGTGGACCTACTATGTCACTTGATGTGGCAGAGATAATATGCTCCATGTCCTCTTTGAAGGAAGTTACTCTTCTTGGAGGTGCATTCCATCATTGTTTTTTTGCAACACTTGCAAGGAAAGGAAAAGAATCAAAGGTGAGCAGTTCATCCACAATTGTGATATATATGTGTAAGTGTTTAATTTAATTCCATTCAATCACCATCTCTTTCTCTTTGCTTTTCTTTTGTACATATTACTTTTCTATAATTCCATTAAATGTCTCATATTTGCTGTTTCTTTTAACAGAAGAACATATCAATGGTCTTTTTAATTAATAAGGCTACCACATGGTGTTACCAAAAGCCTTCAAGTGTGAATACTTACCATGGAAGTATATACAATGAGGGCGGGGAGCACCATGCGTTATGCTTATACGACTTCAATGCTATGATAGAAACCCTGGCGCTTTATCGACGACTACAGAAAATCACAAACTCTCTGTTTTCTGCCCAAATTCAGCATTTCTCAGAATATGAACTCTGGGAGGCACACCTTCATGGCTGCTCCCAGCCAATCCTCCGAAGGTTGAGTTTCAAGAGGGCGCGGCAAACAAGTTTATGGCGTCTTATAGCCAAAAACCCCTTGAACACGCTATTAGTACATATATGATTATGTCCCTGTGTAGGATGCCCAATTTCCATTGCGTGTCATGTGTTTTGCTGCCAGTATTTTCACAGCTCATAGCACAGGGAGATTATGGTATTAGTGATTATATGATGCACATGCATTGATTTTTTGTTTTTAAAGGCCATTCTCCAAAGAGTCATGAAATATGGAATAAAAGCAAACTATGCATGTGCTGATTCAGTTGAAATTCAAGTTTGATTGATAGGAAACATATGTTATATAGTTTTTTTAAGAGGCACTTTTAATTAATAAAGACTTGAATTTACCAAAATTGTACCATAGCAACAAACATCCTAACCTGTCTACATGAAATCTATTATTAGAGTTATGGATACCTTTAATAAAATAACTGGGTATTATTAATTTCAGTATTATTAGGAGTAGGACTTATCAAAGCAACCAGGTTGGAAGCCTTATAAAGAATACATATAGCATTTTGTTTATCACTCTTACCATATCATTCTCCCCACAGAAACTCTATAGAGTCTTCTTCAATTCCAAGAGAAAAGAGTTGTAGTTGAAAATAAATCTATTCAATAATTTTTTTTGAAAATTTTATTAGGAATAAGAATGTAACTATGACATAAATAGAATGTTTGTAAAGTCTACAATGATAAATTAGTGAATAAAACATATTAATAGATGTGCTGCTTAACTATGTTCACAAACCATGCAGGTCCAGTCTCTCAGTCTTAATGGTGTCAGGAGTCCTACACAAGTCCCAGCACAATACCTATCAGAAGCAATGCGTGCTATGCCAAACCTGACTGACCTGCGTATGTTTCTACTGGTATGTGTGTCCTAATGTAAATGTCCCGGAGGGTCATTGATCAACAGAAGTAGCAGTAATATGGTGCACATGTAAATATGTGGGTATTTTTTCAAATACCCTTTTTTAAAGGCCATTCACTTTGTATATTGGAACAGTCATGAAACATAGAATGAAAGGAAGCTGCACATGTACTGATTCAGTTGAAATTCAAGTGTGTATATAAAGATGAACATTGTTTTCATCCATATACAATAACCAACCTTTTCCAAGTTTGATTGTTTTTGAAAAATATGACTTATAGTTTTTTGAGAGCCAATTTCCAATGAAGGCTTGAATATACCAAGCTGTACCTTAACAACAAACCTTCTGAATTAGGGGTCTTATTGCACATGAAATCCAGAGTCATGAATACCTTGAATACATTAAAAGCA